CGTTGCTTCAATCTAGGGTGCGGATGGGACAGGAAGGAGGTCGGAGACCGCGAGAATTTTCTTTGATCACGCAAACGGTAATGAAAAATAGTGTTATGGTGTATATTGATGATGTTTGACTTGGTTCCAGTCAACCATTAATATTTATATATTGGTTTTAGATAAATAAAACTTCCTGATGGGTGGGATTTTATTGCCGAAATTGAATTTTTACAGTTCGATGGAAATTCCGTTGGAGAAAATCAGAGATTTTCTTCCACGAGAATATATACTCCGTCACGGTAATAACGGTAACGTAACCGTAAATCCAATGTCCGGACAACGGTCCTTCTATACCGGACACCCTCGACTTTCGAGTATCGCCCATCACAACTGTACACAGTTATGTTCAAACACTATAATAATACTTATGAATATTTGACATTGCCGTCATTTTTTGTACTATTTTTAATCAATGCTGGATATTAATCATTCACTAAGATAAAATTAATTTAATTAAATGTATTTTTTTAAAAATAATTTAGCGCAAATAATACTTATAAATTGTTCTATTGTTTATATAATTTAACTCTTTGATTTATAACATAAATTATAATTAATATAATTTTTTTTTATCAAGATAATTATAAAGTTAATTATTAGATGGGTTCAAATATATTGAAAAAAAAATTTTTTATAAGCAAATAATTGCATGCAATTTTAGTTTAGCATAAGTAAAACATAATTATTATTTTAAATTAATTAATTATTTTTAAAAAAATTAATTAATCATCAATAATTATTATTATCTTTTATAAAAATTTCTATAAAATAAAATAATACATTTATAAATTTATTATTATTATATCTTTATAATAATAATTTATAATTTTCTAAAAGACTCAAATATATATTTAATTTATTAATTTATCCATCTGTATTCATTTTTGTAAGTTTTGATTCCACTAAAAATTATTATTATTATTATTGTTAGTCTTGACCAGGCATCTTTTGTGAATCTCTCATAATTTATTCATTGTAATTTCCATTTCTGTATATTTTACAATATATTAAGACAATGAATTTATTTTTATTTAATCATTAATGCAGTATAGAGTAACTGCAATGATCTAAAATGATCAATAAAATTTTTATTGTCTTATTGAATCAAGTTCAATGCATCCTTTAATCAAAATATTGATTTACAACTATCAAAAAATTTTTTTTAACTAAATAAAAAATTTTTCTCACAGCCCAAACATCTTTACCTTCATCCTCTGCATCCATACTTGGATGTCAGATGGATAAAGCTAAGAAGCCATAGAATATATTCTCATGATTATCATTAGCATTTTTATTGGACCTATTCAAGTTTAAATAAAAGGCACAGTTCATTTAAATTACAATAAACAAAATCTCTATTGAATATTTGACTTTCTTGTCTTTTCATTTCTTTTAGATTTTCAATTACCTCGTCACGTGTTTATTGATTAAATTATTTTTTTTTTTTTGACTCAATGAAAGATCTAGAGATTTTTTACTTATTTATGTAACTCAAAAAGGTTAAGAAAAGGTCATAAACTTGACATTTAAATATTCTAAGACTTTTGTTTGTCTGTTTCTATTCAATTATTGATTGAAAGTAATCCTATCATTTATAGCTTAAAGTGTAATTAGTTTTTTGTTACATTCATTTCATACAACAAAAAAGAAAATTGTGTAACTGTAAAATTTATGTTACATACATTTTAGATTAGATAAAAGTATGAAATATTTTTATTTCTCTAAAATAACTATAAGTTAAATTTATTTTTTTGGCAACTATATTGTAAACAAGTTTTTCCTGCTGATAGACTTTTTTTATTCTTAGTAAAGAACAATGACTTTTTGGCAACGAATCTAAATGTGAATTATAATAAATTTTTCCATACTCAAATATAATGCATTTCTTAAAAATATAATTTTTTCAATGATTTATAAATGTTTATATCAATAAAATAACTATTTAAATATTTATTAAAAAAAAAAAAATGATATAAAAAGTTAATTATCTTTAATAAATATTTTTTATGTCAATAATTGAGAGATTTATTTAATTTTGTGTTGTATCAATAAAATTAATGCCTTTAAAATAATCCAACAAGTACAATTGTTTGTTAATTAAAAAAAAAAAAAACAAACTCAATACAAAGTATTTTATTTAATCAAGTAATGTTTAATTATCATTACCAGAAATAATTAATCCACACAAAAATTTCAAGGAAATAAAAAAATTCGTTTAAAATTAAAAAGCATTATTTTATAACCGACGCCCTTGTGAAAGTTATTTTCATCACACACTAAAAAATAGGAATAATTGAAGTGCTTTCCCCAAATCGACTAACATCAGAGAAAGTAATTAATCATTGAGTACTATAATTAATATGACCTTTTCCACTGTCCTCTCAGAAAAAAAAAAAAATAAAATATTTTCCCCGCATGTGTATCAGCGCACGTGGGGTGAATGAAGTTACGTAAAAGAGAGAAAATGGAAGAGAATGAATTAGTGAAAGAGGAACGACAGAAAGCGTCGAATGCGTGTGTACAATACGGGTATAGAATGTGTATGGATTGACGAACTCTAGGGGTTGAAGACCGGATAGATAGAAAAGGAAAGAGCTGAATGGTGAAGGCTTTAGAATACCCTATTTACTTTCTCTGTTGCCTTGTGTCTTCGATCCGTAGCATGGAATTCACCCCCTCTGGTGAAGCCGCTTTATCCAACCAGAAAACGTGGCCCAAGCCACTTCCGATCAGTCTTTTTTCGCAGTCGAATTTCAATTTCTCACGAGGTAAAAAAAGAAAGAAAGAAAAAGAGTATAATAATAAAGAATGAGGGTTTTACCTTTGAATTTTTCTCATTTCTTTTTTTCCTCCTCATTTTACGTCTCATTCTCCTCTTAAGCACTTCTTTCTACCCACACGTAGGACATGATGTGCAAGACTTTAAAAAATTCTTTCATCTCTTTCTCTTTTAACTCGTATAAACAGCAACACACTTATACAAATTTCCAGGAGATCCTGCAACCTAAACGAATGTAACATCGATGGGCTTTTGTCGCGGCCAGGAAATATTTATTTACGCTGTCAGCGTTTCTCTTACATTACCAACGACATACGTGTAACATACGGGGAAATAAATATGCAGCAGACAGTGTTAATTAGCCGACTGCCAAACGTGCTTATACATTTTCACGATTTCGACCGTTACGAAATGACACCATCATCTGTAGTATACAAAAGAATAAGTAGCCACCACCATCATCATCATCATCATCATCATCATCAACATCACAGTTAAAGTAGTATATACATAAATATATTGGCAACAAGTATATATAAAACTTGATTTGCTACAAACCTGCAAAAGATCTGCAGACTGCATTGAAATTGTTGTGTATATATATCACATAGAACGATGTTGTTCATCGTCCATATATGTTGTATAACTCGTAGTGCATACATCGGCGATATATTTGCTTCACGGATATACTGGCCGATGTGACGCACACGATTAAAGAAGAGAGTGAGTGAGCAAGAGGGAAAGAGAAAGAAGATGATGATGAAGCAGAGGAAGAGGAGGAGAATCCTATCTCTCGGCGGTCTGTCTCGAAATACCACGGGAGATCGCATACCCTATCCTACGTTATTATCCGTCTTTCTCTCTCTTTTTCTTTCTCTGTCGGCCCTCGTCCGGACGCGTACATTCGGCGTCAAAAGTTTTTTCTCAACAGCATATACCTACTGTTCTCGTAGTCTTGTGTGTATATAACGATAAGCCTACCTATGGCGTGTATGTGTATAACTACACATGCGCGTGTGCACGCGTGCGAAAGGCAAGGCCTGTGTGATACAAATGCAGGAGAACGAGGCAGGAAAAGGGTGGCAGCAAGGCGACCTGTATGTCCAAGGGGAGAAGAAAGAAAACGAGTCATAAAAAGAGAGAAAGAAGGATAAGTGAGCTTGGAATATATCAGTGTACACCCAAGTGGCACTTGTTCTTCCGCCTAATGGATTCGAGAGTCACAAGCCGCGTTGCAATAAGACACATAACGATGGAGTGTATAAGAGCCTGCACACACGTGAGTGTCGTCATTGGATTGACCGAGGCGTGTACCTGAGTGGAGTCTGAAACTGGCCCCTTGCGGGCACAAAGAAACGAGGCGGCAGCAAAAGAGACCTTCTTGAGAATTACAGTGAGCCTCAGAGCCATGAATAAGAACGGCTAGAAAAAGCAACCGCGTTGAGGAGAATAGTGGTCCGGGAATAGATTCTTCTTCTTCTTCTTCTTCTCTCCTCCTACTTTACTACTCACTTGTCATAGTTCTATTTCATGTGCGCGATCTCCTCCAGACACACATGCGACTTTCCTTACACTGGAATCGACCTTTCAATCTCTCTCTCTCTCTCTCTATCTCTCTTTAGCGAGCTGTAAAAAAAGATCCTCATCTCCACCTACTGTATATATTCCGTTTACCTTCAGCTCGAGTATTCGGTGTGTGTCTGCACCGTCATGTATATCTCGATTCTCGCGTGCCTGCCTGGCGGAGGAGGATCCACGGCCCCCGCGACGCCTACGGCTTCCACTCGACGGCCAAAAGTGCAGCACCGATGCGCTGATTTCCCAGCCACGTTCTTTCTCTACATCTCTCGCCCCTCCTTTCCTTTCTGCGTGCTTGCACGAGTTTACTTGTTTTTTTCTCCTTCAGTCTTTCTCGCTCTCTAGAGATCTGGATGGGACTCGAGGAAACAGGGGGACTCATGGGGGAAAGGTGAAACGTGTGCGGAGATAGGAGGAGTGAGTAGTTAGTTGTATATCACGACAGATACGATTTAGAGAGGTTCGTGTAGTAAATGTATTGAGGAATTTTAGTGGATGGCCATGAGGAGTATTAGCAATATAGACATTTGGTGTTGGCTTTTCATACTCACTAGAGCTAACACATATTTATAAATGTAGTAGATATATTATACACACTCACCTTTCTCGATGCAGTAAACAAATACGTTCCTTAGCGACCTTCAGCCGTTTTGAAATAATCTTTTTGAGGTTTTCGATGGTGTCATTGCGCTCGACAACTAATTCAAATTGTCCGCCTGTTGTGGGTGTAATGCTGATGGTGATCTCCTCGGGGTCAGTTGTTGGCGGACCCATAACAATACAGCCACACCCTGGTGGTGACGGTGGGATCGAGGTAGGCATGGCAAAACTACTACTCCTGGTGCCACTACTTGTGGTCATCGTGGCCATCGCAGAACTCGATCCAGCCGCACAATACTCCGATTCACCACTCGCTGCTAATGACGAGGAAGTTGATGATTCTGTTTCACTTTCAGGATTGTTATTATTTGTCCTGTGGTTATTATCACCGTTGGTGCTTTTGTTGTTGCCGCTACCATCCATTGCTGTGACGTCCGTGGACGGCTGCTTCGAGCTGCCGTCCATTGTGCAGTGTTTCTAAAACGATCACGAATTCTTCACCTTGCACGCACTCGCACCTTGCACCTGTACCTTGGACCCGACGCGAGTAATCAGACCCGTGCCGGGCCTCAACGACAAATATACCTGAATAACGTCGTCGTTAACGTTAATTGCGTTATGTATACGCGACTCACTTATTAGTAACCGTCCCAAGCACGCACGAAAACAGGATCCAGACCGCGACAATTTACAATCAGGCACAAGAGACTTCGCTCTCTAAACTTCGATCGATAAACTGGAGAAAGATATCGAGCACTCGACCGTCACTACGACACTCGACACACTACTGCGTGACACTCTTCTCTCTATGTAATACTTCTTGGGAATTGTAACTCTAGTCTCTCCTCTTTTTCTCTCGAGTCTCTTCTCTCCGTTTATTGCTTGCTCGATCGTTCTTCGTCACGCGTCTGGTGATCCCGCTACGAAACCACCCACCCTTGACCGCTCGAACTCTGCGACTAGCAACCGAAAAACCCAAAACCCCGGCCTCAGCCGGATTCCCAGACCCAGCTGAACCTACCTCAGTGTGAGACCAGCCCAAATACATGAAAAATGGCCACACTAACGACCATACACTGACATCTAACAGAATTTTTATACATAACCTAAAATATTCAAACAGCGACATCTATAACCGCGAAAAATGTTTGAATTTAAATAATGAAAATTCTATTTTTCAAAAAGTTTTTTTTACAATAAAAAAATTATACGATGATTGTGTATGTTAAATAATATATTGATTAAAATTCAAGATAAATAAAATAGTTAATAATTTTAAATACTTGGAAAAATATAAACAAAATATATTAAGGAAAAAGTTTCACCATATTTTAAAATTTGAAAAGAAACTTTAGTGTTTATTTAACGGAGATATTTATTACAAAATAAAAATAAAAAATGTTGTATAGAGTGCTGATTGTGAAAGATTTGAAACAATATTAATGTAAAATTGAAAAGATTTAAAGCATTTGTCTAGTAATAGTATAATTATTAAATTAATTGATTTATATATAAACTACTGTAAAATTATTTATTATGTATATTGTCCAGCAATTTGCATCGCAGAGTACTACGATGATAACTTTTTTTTTTTGGCATTCTCTGATTTTGGCGATAACCAGTTATAATCATTGACCTCTGATAGTAAATGTTATAAATTTGATTAACATTGCACAAAGAATTGCCATAATAAAATTGTTTAATAATAATTATTACTATGTATTACCCTAATCCGTGTGATTGTGATAGAGGAAACTATTTTAAATGAATATTAAGAAATTTATAAACAACTTTAAAACCGTTAAGTAGAAATATTACTAACAAAAATATATGAAATCCACTATATTTGACACTTTTATCAATGAGCTCATCAACTTTAGGTTTTTCTTATTCTGTCTAATCTTTTCGTGCATAACCATCGAATAATTTATCTCAAAAAAGTGCAAAAGTTAAGTTCATTAAAATTCTAATATTTATAATTGGCATTTTTTTGATTATCTAAAAATTGTTTCAGTGTATCTACAGCTCTAATATTCTTTTGGAACAGAATTTTAGAGCTTCAACTTAATTACTTAAAGTTTATTTTCAATTTAACTTGCTATCAGGTCCCTTGCACTCTTAGGTGTCTTCGATTTTATTTATGTTTTGATGCAAGGGACACCATGATTCATGAACCGAACTCTTCAGTATCAGATTCAATTGGTTTAAATTGATAAGAGCCTCGACCATCCATTAGTAGATAATACTGAAATGATACACAATTCATAAGTAAAAGTTCTCTCGGGTCAACTAAAGTCGTAGTCAAAGGTCAACAAAAATACTTACCTCGTGATGTTTCCATAACGATCGTCTATGAGATACAGTAAATAAGGTAATATTGGCTTCACGACAGTAAGAGTACATTGAATCTTCAACATCTACACTTACTGCACTTGTACATTCATCCAAAATTGCAAACTGTGGTTTATGATAAAATAATCTTGCCATCTAAAAAAAGTATTATAAAATATTTAAATGATGATTTATTCATTGATTTGTAATAATTATTTTAATTACCGCAATACGTTGTTTCTCTCCACCAGAAAGTACATCCATCCAATCAGCTACAGTATCCCATCCACCTTCTCGTTCTAATAAGTGACTAAGTTGTACTAAATCTAAGAATTTTTGCAGATCATCATCATTAGCATGACCACGTCTCTGCATTTCAGCCTGAGTATGAGGATAAATTACTTGGTCTCTCAGAGTTCCAAGGGTCATGTAAGGTCGTTGCGGAATATAAAACAGTTTTCCACTTGGTGGCTTTGTTAAAACACCTCCCCAGACAGGCCACAACTGTATAATTAAACCACAAATTAGGCATTTACATATTCAATAAAAACGTTTGCTGATTATTGATATAAGAAAGTGACATTTACCTCACCCAGTACACGGAATAGTGAACTCTTGCCACAACCATTCGGCCCACAAACTAATACATTCATTCCTGACTCTACTGAGAAGCATAAATCTCTGATGAGTATATCGCCATTGGGTGTAACCAGCGGAACATGATCAAAACGGATAATGTTATCCTTGGCAACAATCTTTCCAGCACCTGGCTCGCCAATTGGTGGACCTTTAGAGTCAGATATCATTGTTCTTTGATACTTTCCTTGGTTCAACTCTTCAAGAACTTTATGGATCTCCGTCACGCGAGCAGTAAAACCTGCTAGTCTAGTCATTTCTCGTCCAGCAAGAATTAATCTACCGATAGCCTCTGCCATTTTAATCATCATCCTACCATTTTCATAATAATTCTTGAACCGATGATCCGGTGTTCCTGAGAGAACTGGATGATTTTTTTGGAAGAACGGTATGCTTACGGCATAAAAGCCAACAACTGTTGCAGTATCTGAAAGGTAGTAGAACATTTTTTTAATACTCTTTCTTTCTTTCTATCTAAATGAAAATTACAGTGTACATTATAATAACATACATTTTCCAACAAAGTTATCGATTACTCCCAAACCCACTTTGAATTCCAAAAGTGATCGAAGATGTTTAATCTGTAGTCAAAAGGAAATTTAATGCTATTGATAAAAGGTCAGCAATTTATGATAAACCAATAAACTTACCAGTTTATGGAAACTCGCTAGAAGTGTTAACTTCTCTCGATTATTTCCACGATAAAACGCAATCTCTTCGGAATTTGTAATGAGTCGCGAATTAATGTGCCGATATTCACCTTCAAGACGTTGTTCTTTAACTGTCATTGAAGCTATTGGCTTCCTTAGATGTGTAAGAAAACTTCCAGCTAACACCAGGTATCCAAACATAATAAGTGGAGTCTAAAAATTGTATTAATTTAATAATTCAATGATTTAATTAATATTTACAATTTAATAAATAGTCTTAAATTAAAATACCTGACCACCCAAAGAAGACGTTAATCTATAAACGTAAATAGAAATGTCAAGAATCGGTTTGGCAATATTACTATAAAGATCCGTACAGCTGTCACAGAATTTATCGATATCAGTAGTAAGTAATTGATCAGGATTGGCAATACGGGTATCTAAATTCGTCATTTTGTAGTACGTAAATCCTCTAGAAACAGAAAATAAATAAAAGATAAGATTTTAAAACATTACATTTCAGTACTCTAATTACTATCATTACGAAATAAATATCGCTTAACCTTGATTATTATATTACGTACTGATAAGGTTACTTAAAATTGTAGCAGATATTGTAAAAGGAAAAAAGAGTTTTGTTTTGACAATAATTATTAATAATAATAATTTACTTGAGATATTGGTCCAATAAATGTCTAGTAATATTTGTTCGTAATCGCAGCTTCATTTCTCCAATACCATATTTCAGAAGGTTGTTGACTACTGAAATCTATAAAATAATCAACGATAAAAACTGTGTTGATAAAATAAATTTTCATCAGAGTTTTGTAAATCTTACCAGTGGTAGTGCTGCTAAGAATGTAATCAATCGTTTTTTAAATAATGGTCCGTCCATATTTACAATAGATCTAAAAAAATTCCATAATTATTTTTATCAAGTAAGTGAATGAATCATCAATAGAACAAGAAATGTAAATGATTAATGTTAGCTGTGTAATTTGTTATAAAAAATTAATGACAATCATATTTACCCTTCAATAAGAGTACTGACTCTAATCATCCATAAGTCGCAAAGTGATCTAGCAACAAGTGAAGCTGCAACCAACAAAGCGAATCCTGCTTCAGGTGAAACAACACCAGGAACACCAATGGATAACAATTTATAAAGTTGTCTGAAAAAAGCTGCATTGACATGAGCTTTGGGTGGACCTTTTGGCTTCTCCTATACAAATTATGATGATTAAAATTAATTTCAATTATTATTATTAACAATAAGGAAAGTTCTTTTTTGATATTACCTCTTTGATGACATAGTGGACGTCGTTACTCGGCCACAAAGTTCTGTAATTTCAACAGTGATTAGGCAATTTCGCGCGTAAAGATAATGGTGATAGAAATAATCACCTTTGTTTAGTTATCCTTTTTGTTCCTTTGCGTTTGAGTAACCAAATCAACGCGCTGATTGCCAGGGCACCAGTCACATTTCTTTGGGTTAAAAATTTACTCGGAGCTGGTGCCATTCTGCAAACTAAACCTAAAAGTGCTCACTTGTCGCACTTACTGCGACTACCTTACCCACCAACAAGAACGTGTTATGATTGTCCCTCGACTTTGGAACGCTAAATGCAGTTGCGATCTCCAAGATAAGGTAGTAGGGATATGTATGTAGTGGGGTGACAATTACTTCATCATAGTTAATTTTTTTTGTCTCACACTGATTGTACTGTCGTTTCCATTACTCACACATCACTCGAATCAGCTGTTGCTACTGTTGCAATGACACATTTCTCTGAATTATCTTTGTTCCCTATAAAAACATTTTTTTTTTGAAACCAGAAATATAATTACTAACTCAAAATTATCAGGTAGCTATTATAATTAATTATTACTGTGTCAAGAATATGAGTTAATTATTGAATTGATATTATGAAATAATCACGTGCACATTTTTACTCCGTTTTCAAGGATTGAGGTTATAAATGATTGACAATATTTCATAGGCTTTAATCATGAACTATTATTACAAGAATTGACTTGTATCATTTTAAATAGCTTAGAATATTTGATCTTATTGAAGTTAATGATAATTTTTCATTCATACAGACTGAATAAATAATAAATTATAAATAATAAGGAAGATCACGATATGACTTACAGTTAGTAAAAAGTATCTGTCTACTTTATCGATTGAGTTTTACTGTCAATTATTTTTCTCATACATGGACACATACAGAAGTGTAAAAATTACGTGAATTTTATCGAACAAATATAACCTTTTACAAAATATTTTATTTTACATCTTTACTAACTCAGTATTTTCTATTTACATAACTTTGATTAGATAGTATTTTTTAATATTCCTGGCAATTATTTATACAATGGAGACCATTAAAGTCACTGTGAAGATTTTACAAGGAAGCGAGTGCGTAGTTGAGGTATCAAATCAATTTTAAATCATCAATTCTATTATAAATTATTCATGTATATTTTTGTTAAAATTATTTAAAATATTTTTGATTTAGATTTCGCCTTCTGAGACTGTTCTCGAATTGAAAAACAAAGTCAGTGAATTATTAGGTGTAGAAGTATCTCAACAAAAACTTTTGCTAACAGGAAAGACGTTAGCAGGTATTGAACATTTTTTAATACATTTATTTATCAAAAGAAAGTAGTTTATTATTATATTGTTTGAATAGTATTCAAAGAAAATAATTAATTTTTTTATCATTAAAAATAAATTATCTCATTTCAGATGAAAATCCATTGAGTTTTTACCCTGGAATCAAGGATGGAAGTAAATTGAATTTAGTTGTGAAAAAGACTACACAAGGATCTAGTGAAGACAAAGCACCAACGCAAGAAAATGGAGCTGAATTATTGAGTGATACAGCATTGAAAATATTAAAACATTATTATCGTACTGCTGAATCAGAAGCCATCGTTAATGAATTGATAAAAGCTATAAGAAGCAAAGTAAATAATCTTAGTTTTGATGATTTAGAACGATTAGCTACGGCTTTAATACAAGATCAAGAAAATTTAGCATAATAATTACGTTTATTACAATGATGATTGTATAAAATCACCAAGACTTTTTCTAATTTTACAATTAATATAATTTGAGTTAATGTAATCGATGTTAGATTTTTATTTAATCATCATCTCATATTTTAATACCATACATCAATATTTCCATGAATTTAAATTAAAAATAGATATTACAAAATATTTAAAAATTATAATGAATTTTTATTAAAATCTTTACGATTAAATATTTACCAATGAATGATATTTTTTATAATTTTTGTTTTTTTTTTCAATTTACTGTGTATGTGCTTTTCATTTATACATGATTAAGTATCAGCTAAATCTAGTTGTTTGAAATATCTTGCTACTAAGCAGATAAATAAATTCATCGTCGACACTTGTGTGTCATCTTCTGATGTCTGAAAATCATTAAACGTCAATTAATGGAATATAATAAATGAAAATTCCAAGAAAGTATAAAAGATATTTTTTCTTACCAAACTTGCTCTTAGTTTAGAACATGCTCGAGCTAATGTTCTGAGACATGCACACACATCTGGATCCAAAGGCATTTCTATGATAGTTAATAAAGCATAGATCCATCGACCCATTTGTGGTGTTAAGGTTCCTTTATTTTCTACTTCGTCCACAAGATATTCTAAAACTTGCTCAACCATTGATTGATTCATCGAAAGAATTATGCTTAAACTTGGTTGATGAGCTTCTGTCTCTTGATTTGATGCTCCTAAACAAAAATCGATCCATTCGGTGCTGCTATTCGCAGGCGGCTAAAAAAAAGGATAAGGACTTGGTCAAGAAGTTACAGTTTACTCTGTTTAACAATAAATAAAATTAAAATGAAAAGATACAGCTTCAGTAAAGTGATTGATTTTGCTCCTGTTTCTAAACAATTCCCTATGAGGAAAACTTACAAGAGTTGGTAAATTGTTTTTCCAATCTGTACTTTCAGCTCGTTCAAATTTGAGTCCTTCCATCTTCATTCTAACTTCAGAAAAATCAGCGACTTGGTAATTTTGCCATTCTACAGTAGGACGAAAATGTGATGGAGCTTCTACACATCCTTCCAGCTTTTAAAAAGTTTTAATAATATTAATTTGAAAGTTATTTATAAATTTATCATAATGTATATTATCAAAGTATAATAAATAATATAAACGTACCGGTGTAATACCAGTAGGTTTTTTGAATTTACTTCGGTCTATATTAGCAACGACAACATCATCACATTGTTGAGCCTCCAATCTGCAATAAAAATTAAATTAAATAATATTAAAAATATTTTTTTCCATTACTAATAATTTGTAGCAACATTGGTTAATAATCATTTAAATTGAAAAATGATCAAAAAATAGTTTTGATGATAGAAAAAAATGAAGTAATTTACTAAATAAATGTAAAAAAATGATTATGATAAAAATTTTAATGGGCTGAAAAACAAAAATGTGAGGCGAAAATATTTACACTACTCGTTTTAAATATTCTTCACCAGAGCTTGGAGGAACAGAAAAATCCATGTCATCATCTATATTGCCAACAAATAATGCTGGTTCTCTTAAATATCCGGCCATTATGATTTTTAATCATTTAGAAAATTTTAATACATTGTTTAAACTAATAAATTAAATTAAAAAATTTTATTTTGTTTGTAAACACACGTCTTTCTGAAACTCCAAAAATGTGTGAATATAACTGTTTTACCGACATATGGTATCACATTTCCCCTAGTTGGTCTGGTGACTTTTATTAGATATCAGTTGGCCAAACTGCACTAAGCGTTTTTTAAAAATGGCCGCTGTGTCTTGATGCGGCTTGGTGTTATCATTTCTGTCAAAGTCTCTAGAATTTGGGCTTATCTAAGTGTACGAAATGCGTCGAAGTGTGATTTTATTTATAGGATTTGATTTCCCGTGTTACTATTGCCAAATAATTTGACGCAAAGTGATTTTGAACACTTTATAAATTACTCAGCCTACATTTGTATGATGACTTTTTACATGTGTATCTTTTACTGTGAACTTTAAAGTACTTTGGAGTACTTTTTTTTACTCTCTTTATAAATTATTAGCAATCCTTTGTATTTATTTACAGTGAGTAATAACTATTTTTTTCAATTCAATTAACCTCTATTTCTTTATCAAGTTAATATTATGAAACAATAAATTTGTGCTGAAAAATTCTAATAACAATTTTCAAGTTCAATAATGTACACTTACAGATAAAAGTAATTAGCTGTCACAAGGACAATGACTCTTGGCATAAACGATAGTCCAAAAAATACGGGGACACTTCCCAAAAGTAATCGCAGAAATGATCGGAATCGAGAAATAATCAATTCTACTCCACCATCTGTGCGTTGTGCTTATCATAGTCGAGCACAACACTCCAATAATTTGGTATGTATAACAAATAGCTTATTTATTCATTAAACATTGATCATTCTCAATTTTTATTGAACTTATAAACCAATAAAGAAAAGAAAGAACATTTGATTTATTATTCATAAAGGGAGTTTTCTAATTACAAATTAATAAATACTTTGAAAGAAGATATCAAACACATACAATTATCAATGTTTATTATAAAAATTTATCCAAATAATACATTTAATAATATTTTACTCCAAAAATTAGAATTAGAGGTTAAATAATAGTTAACCTTCTATTAAAGTTATTGACTAAAAGGTTAAATTATACATTTGAACAAAAAATAATAGCAAAATAACTATTTATGCTGTCAACTCCATTCGTACTGTCTTCTTAAAAAACGTAACTGAACACAAGTGGTATAATAATGAAATAATTCACATCACATGGCAAATAAATTTGAGATTTTTCAGAAAAACGAAACACTAACTTATGTATCTAATCACTTATCATCCATCAAAAACCAATTCATTCACAAATGAATTGATTTATTAATTAATGCATTCATCAAACTGGCACAATATTTAAATGGAATACTTATAAACGATATTCAATCAAGTATTTTGTAGTTTGAACGTTGAAATTACTCTTGTAATTCAGGATGTAAAATTCTATAAATAAAGCTTCTAACAGTGGGGGTTTCCATCTAAGAATACATACTTCGAGACTTCTAAGTCTCGTTCATTATATTACAAAAGTTCTCCTGCAATGTACCTACAACTTTTATCAAATCTTGTTTAACATATTCTTTACAAAGTTCAAGTGAGTTGTTAATCAATTGTTTCACTAATTCACTTAGTTGGATTTGCAACCAGTCAATGACCGGGAAAGTGTGAGAACTACTAAAAATAGCAACGCTAGATCTACGTCTTCAACTACTTCTTTATCCTACCAGGATTTTGCTGATTTATGTAAGAATTTTTATTTTATTACAACTAGTTATTCTAACTGTTTTATTAGTTAAGATTAAAATATAAAATAAACACTGAAAAAAGAACATTAATAAAAGATTAAACATAAGATCTTTTTAAATGAATATTTGCAATAATAATTAATAATGTTTTATTTATTGATTTAGTTTCTTTTAGTGGAAATCGGCAATTTAATTATACTGGAGACGATTGTACTCAGTGGCAAGAAATGGCTCAATCAATCGATTCACGTGCTCAATCACCCCCTCATGTCCAAGAAGCGAAGCCTACGAATGTCGATAAGATGGTAACTTGATTTTTTTTTTATTAACCTCTTTCTTTCCTACTGCATTGAATAATTTCATTAATTTTATTTTACTTAATGTTTTATAAGCATTATAATAACAATTTTATCATTCAGTAATAAGCTTTCTGAAATTTAAAGATAACTCCAAAAATGTTTTTAAAGCTTCTAAAAACTTATACAAGCCCCAATACGTGTAATTTGGTTTATTTTTAAAAGAAAATTTTTTCCTTTCACAAAAATGTTGTTGTAACATAAATGAAAGTAAATAATTCATTTGTTATTTTCATGGGAACTATATTTATTCAATTTATTCTGAAGTTTTGTATAAATAATTCTTTTAAATTAATGTCACTTCAATTAGAATGAATTTGTCTTTTAATAATTAGATATGTGATGAACTGATAGTAATATTCATGTTCAATTGTCAATAAAATTTTACAGCCGGACAGACATCAAGTAGAGACTCGTTTAAACCAAATTCGCGATTACATCAGAGTGACCTCAACGATGATGGAATCTCTGAGTCAATCTTCGGATCCAGTAAGTTCGATGAAGATAATTGCCAAAAGTTTATCAATAGTATCATCTTTATTCTTCTCTTCAATTTTAATCATTCAATTCTTCACAGCGAGCTCGAACGCAACACGATAAATTGGCTAAAATGGTGGAAGATCTTTGTGATAGTGAAGCAAAGCTCACAAAGCTTTTGGAGAATTATCGGGGCCCTGTAGATGAGGTTAATAAGCTTTTATTAATTTTGCCATAAATATTGATACTTATTATTCATCAACAATCGTTTAATTTACGTTTGTTTATAAATTTTTATCGAAAATATTTAAGTATTTTATATTAAATCAATATTCATGGCTAATGATTAACATTATTTATTTTTCAAAATATTTACTAACATTGCATAATTGTAGTGTGATCATCAATTACCGTGCTTTTCCGAAATGAAACATTTTATTGAGCTTTTGGATGTTCTTCCTCATCAAGATCGTATATTAATTACTAACTTTAACATCATGGTTTGTTTGATTTACTTTACTAACAATCATTATAATATCAATTTTCTAGACACTGTTGACCAATCATTTGCATTTCGAAATTGAAAATTATTTATAATTTAACTTCATTTGAACAGAATGGTGACGGTGCTGAGAGTGAGGAATCATTAGAATCGCAATTGCGGAAGAAGGTAGAAGAGTCACAGAGAAAATTGGCTCAGTTGCAAGAACATCAAGCAAATCTCGTGGGAATGCAAATGCGAGTAAGAGAACGTTTGAATGAGGCAAAAAAAACTCAACGAGCACTTTTACAACAAGAAAATCACGCACGAGAATTGTCAGCTAATTTGGCTACTTGTGATAATGCAAATATCATTCAACGTCAAATGGAAAATGAAACTGCAACTTTGGAATCAGAAACTGCTGCTTTGCGGAGCAAATTAGCAGCACTTCAGAGTAAAAAACAGCAGATGGATACGCTTGTTGCTGAATTACAAGCAGCAGAAATGTCTGATAGAGCTAGCTGTGTGAGTTATTGTTTACATCTTATAGATTACAAATAAAATAAGCCTTGAATACATCTTTAGTTTAAATATGGAATGACAGATCGAAACTATTTTTAAATATTTTTAACTTTGAAGAGTTAAAAATATGCTTTCAAACCTTTTTAAGTAAATTGAGCTACCTCCCTTGAAAACAAGATATAAATGGATATGTCTTAGTATCTAAAAATAAATAATTATTTTCAAGTTTTCTCAGCTATTTAAATAACTCCTTATTTTGATATAGTTTTGAAAAGTAAAAAAATTTTGTAACAGATAATGTATACATATTTTTTTATTCTACTAATTAATTAACTAAACTATATTATCTTAAAATATTTATATAAACTTAAAAGTATTGACACAAATAAAAATTTTATAATCGTTTTTTTATTCCAGAGCTCTAGTAGTTCACGTAATGCAGAAAGAGATAAAGCTGCTGAATTAGAATCGCTCAAACTACAATTGGCGCACTTAAAGAATCTTATGGGAGAAGCTACAAGAGATACTCTCAATTCATCAGAACCTGATGTTGAATCAAATTCAAATGCAGGCTGTTGTGAGAATGGTGATGCTGCTGAGGATGAAATTGGTGCTGCACCATCATCAGTACACTCATTAGATCGAAATAGTGATGTTGATGATATTTACGCTAAATTTAATAACTCAAAAGAACGTTTAACAGTTGAGCACATCCAGGTAATTTTGTAAAATATTTTTTTTTAGCTCAGGAAATTATAAATTTTCATTTTCAAATTATATCAAATTTTTTTTTATTATAGGCTTTTACTCGTAAAATGAAAGAACAGCAAGTTATCTTGCAATCAGCACGTGCTGAAATTCAACGTTTAAAAAATCCAACTCCATCTACATCAGCTGCTCCATCGCTTCTCTTGCAAGGATCAACTCCTCCTTCTTCGACAGTAGGAATTTCCAATGCAGAGAAAAAGAACAGCAACACCAATCAAAGTAATAATAATAATACCAACAATAATAATAATAACAACAATAACAACAATATTAATCATCATAATAATACACATAACAATGCAAATGGAGACATTGCACAAAACAAAAAAAGACAATTAGAAGAATTGGTACGAAAGGACCAACCTCATTCTTCGAGTATTAACCGAGATTGTGGAACTGATTGGAGTAGTAGACGAGGCTCTAGTTCACATTATAGTCACAGCAGTACTCCTGCTAATGTTTGGCCTGTTCCTAATGCTATGAATGGTATGAATTAAAATTTGCTGTTTCTTATGCATTTATTATAAAAAAAAATAGTATATTTCACACCTAGGGAGGAAAAGTAGACTAGCTCAAACCACGTGTAAAATTACAACCCGAGCCGAAGGCGAGGGGGGTAAACACGTGGTTTAAGCTTGTCTAATTGTCCTCCTTAGGGCTGAATATAATTTTTCGTCATACCTGAGTGGAAAGTTCAACCCCTCTCCAATGGAAAAGTGAACTTTCCGCGCAGGCATGACGAAAAAATTATTTTTTCATTGTAGTCGAAACGTAGATAGTTTTGATTATTCTAAAATTTAATAGTGATAGCTTTTATCTAATAGAAAAGAAACTTTAAAAATTTTTTAAATTAAAATAATCGTAGTACAGAAATAAATGAGCTAATATTTTAGAATAATCATCCAATTTTGTGCTTAGTTTATAAAAATATTTGAAGTCGAGATGCTGAATATTAGAAGCTTCGTTTTAGAAAACAAAATGATGTTTTTCGCTAGGAATAAAGAATTGCTCAGTAAATAATGTCTAAAGTAAGACATCAAAGCTTTGAAGTACTGTGAATTTATAGTAATAAAGCTCCTTATTCTATAAATTTTCAGTCATAAAAATGTTTAAGTATCATTTACGTTTGTCATTTTATTAAAGTTTTTTATAGTGAAAATTCCAAAAATAAAAAAGTTTAATCATATTCAATTTTAAATGCCGGAAGCTTTAAATAAACTAAAATCTTATAATTCTAAATTTGGAATTGCTATCCATAAATATTTGATTAACAAAAGATACATTAAATAACGAAAAAAAATATTGAGTAATAAATTTTCTGCATATTTTTGTTTAGTGAGTGAGTCAAATGATCAAAGTGTTGATGGAATATCTGCCCCTGACAATTTACTGGACATTGGACTTCAGGTACCAGCTGTTGACAGTGGATTTGGCAACAACTGGTGGAATGTTCCAGCTCCTCCGATTACTCAACCACATCAGCCTGGTAAAGATGTTAAAAATAAATCAACTGATAATCAATAGTATCAATAGATTCATTGGGTTTATCATTGAGATAGAATTTTCATTGTGAAATATTTAGGAAATTCTATTTTTATAGCTTCAGCCAATTGTCCGCTTGCATTATATCATAGATTAGCACTTGGTTTATATTTATAGACGTAAGGAGTAATAAAAATAAAAAAGCATTAGAACACATTTTTTTCATTACTCATACTTGAAAATAACTCAAATCTACTTTATAGTTTTTTTGGATGATTAATTAGTAGATTTTTGTTACAAATGATACACAGATGTTTATATACTTAATTGTAATCATTAAACTTCTTTTTCTTTTCTTTTTTCTAATGTTGAAACATTTTTATTGTTTCTAAAAATTGTTGAATAGGCATGACTGGTTCTTTGGAATATTATCGTCAGTTATTGATGAGTTCGCAAGCTCAACAACTTCAAATGATGAGCACTACAATGCAGCAATGCTGCCAGCTTTTATGGGCACAGCAACGAGAACTTCAATCAATGAGGACAGCAATAACTCAACTGCAACAACACTTTCAATTGACCCAAAATCAACCACGAGTTACTGAAAATGAAAACCGTGAGAATTATTCCAATTTAAGTCGATCAACTCATCATTTAGGTAATACCTTGGAGACTGCTCTACCTCCAAGTTCATCTTTACCGAATCTAGTCTCTCTTCCAACACCATCTCCAGCACCATCACATACTCCGATAGTTGCTTCAAGCACTTCTGATCACCATCACAATCAACAACAACTTAATAATCAAGTGCCACCAGGAAATCGTGCTAACAACTATTGGGATAATTTTCGAAGGTAAAAAAATGGTCTATCACTTGTCTTGAAGACTCAAGCGTAGTCAATCTATACGACCAAACACCTCAATGGATCATGAGAAATTAAACAAGATTAATCCATTAATTCGTGATACATTTTCTGAATACAAATTATCATATTTTTCTGTCATATTCAAAATTATTATTTCATTGTATTTATAGTATTGAGGAATAAAATCACGGTTTGTGTTTTTGCATTTAATCGCGATTTTATTTATTTATCATTTAGTTATATCCTTTTTTTAAGAGATATTATTCTTTACGCGTAAGTGCATTTGAAATGAATTTATTTATGAGGATTACAAGAAAAGAGAAACTTTTTTTGGTAGGTACCTTATAGGTATGTAAATCGATTGGCGGTTGTAATGTTTATTTTTGTCTATTGATGTACATTTTACTGTGCTTTTACTATGAATATTTGAGACAATTCACATCCATCAAAGTCAATTATTAACTAGTAATGAACAAGTTTGCACGGAAATGTCGAATTTTTATTATAAAAATTTACTAACAATTTTTAAATTAAGAATGTCAAAATAGTCAACCAAACAAATATTAAATAATACTAGGTATTGATTGGAAAAAATTATTATAAGACCTTTTGATGTTTTTTTTTTGTTGATTAATCATTTGTTTACCACCGAGTGTAAATCTTGATAGATTTGTTTAAGTTCAATTAATGCATGAAATAATTGTGATGTTCTGTAAAATAACAATGTGTGATGTGTTTGGAATTGTTTTGCTTTTCAGTTATTCCAGGCAAAATCTTTTGTCAGGAAATTCCAAAACAATAACAGACTCTTTACCTGGTCCATCCAGTAATTCAAGTTTATCAACTAACACTGCAGGAGCCAGTGCACATACAACACTTGTGTGAGTTTATTGTTATCAAAATTATTTACACAAAATCTTTTAATCTTCTAGCATTTATAATGATTAATTAATTAAATAACTAATTCTATTTTTAAAGTTGGGATAAAAAAAATCGAGATCATGGAGTCGATAATTTATCTCTACCATCTTTGACAAGTTCAGATGCACAGTATTCTCTTAATCTCCAACTCCAGTCAAATCTACAGACCCATGAACGAGAAAGTTCTACAGCCAGAAGTAATATATCTTTTAATGAAGCAACACAGTCTCAACAGCTAGATAATTTTTGGGAAGAAGCGCATTCATCTTTTAGATTGGTACCAGATAGTAATGATGACATTTATTCTCTTCATCTCAGGTAAATTTTTTTTTTAAATCATTTATTTAATTAACTTGCTAGAAGCTTATTAAAAATTTAAATAAATAATTAAATATATAGTTGAGAAACAACTTAAAATAAAAATTCTTGATAATTAATATATTCAATTAAGATTGATTTAATTATTTATTTTTATTTATATAATATAAAGGTTAATTTTAGAATTTATTATGCTGGACATGAATGTGAATAATAAACGATGAATAATTAACTTATTTTTACATCACAATGTTTATTTTATCTACGTGCAATTCATTTTCAAATTTCCAATTTAAATAGTTGAAATTTATATCTTATAAAAATATGCAGTTATGTTTAAAAATATTTATGTAATATAAATGAAAAAAAAGAGATATAAAACTAAAAAAATAATTGGTTAAATCAGTTTATAATAAATTTTAAATAATTTATTGATTTCAGTGGTGAAATGAGAGAAATCCTGCTATCCTTAGTTACTGCAAATAGAAAAAGGTCAGATTACCTCATAACAATCCTACGAGAAATAAAGGCTATTAGTGAAGACCACAGACTTCGACCAAGACTTTTACGATCATTAAGAGCACTTCAAGATACCCAATCACCAAATATTCCATTGGTAATCATTTTTATCTCTATTTCAAATATTTTCTAATAACATTTAGATAACAAAATTTAACAAGTGATGTCATTCAAATATTTCTTTACAGAATGAAACAACTGATCAAACTGCTAGTGAGAGTTGCCAATCTAGTGATGAAGATTCAGATATAGGTGCTCAAGCGAGACCACTTTTGAACACCAGTTCAGATCATCAATCTTTAGTAAATGAGTATTTAATGGCACCAATCCATTCTTCTGAACGACCATTACCCCAGAATATACCAGCTTTATTGGTCGATCACATTGAATTTGATGTAAGGAATGAATATTGATTCTTTTTTTTGTTATTAACACTATATTTTCCATCTTAAAAATAGTTTTATTACATAAGCTTATATAAAATATAAATAAAAAAATTTTTTTTAGTTGTACAAATATTTATCAATGGCAATCATTGAAATAATATAAGAGAAAAGAAACTTTTAATATTTTATATTTTATAAAATACTAGAAAAGACGTAGTATTTAAGTTTAAATATAATTTAAAATTTAAAAATAAAATTTTTTAATATCTTATCATTTTAATTATTATTAATTTAGGCACCACAATTGGATATTCATCCAATATCTTCTATCTCTTCGATATCTTCAGCATCAATTCTAACACCAGGGTACAATGAGGATTTAGCAGAAGCTGATCAATCACGCCCAGAAGCATCGAACAATCAACAGGTAGTTTATCTCATTTTAAATTTGATTGAAAACTTTAATCAACAGTATAATTAAAGTTTCTACATTTATCTTATCACATTATTTTAAACTTGTAGAATTCATTAGACAACAGCAGTGATGAACTTGGAGATAGTGTGGATTTACATTTTCCAGTAAATCAAGATGTCGCAGCTCTTGAAGCAGATCGAGAAATTTTAGACAGTGAGAATGGTAATGATGCTGTTGCAACTGATAATTCAATACTCGAACGAAATTCTGCAATACTTTTTCATCGTTAAAATTAATGACTATTTGTCATAAAATTTTTATATATTTCACAGCTTTTTTATAAAAGTAATTAAATTATTTCGTTTTTTTTTTCTATTAATTAAACAAAGCTATACAGTATCTTAAAAATGTTTACTTTTTATAGAGCAGTTGATAAAAGAAATTTATGAATCTTTTTCATGTAATTGTATTAATAGTAATTCATACTATTTTTCTATAGTTAAAAAGTAACTAAAGCAGTTGTATTTTACAAATTATAATACTTAAATTATAATACTTTTAATTAATAAGGTATAACAAAAAATTTAAGTAAATAATTTTTTTTTTTAAGTAGAAAAGTATATTTTTATTTTATTTTTCTTGCACACAAACTTATAATTAAATCCTAAAACCTTAGTTTCCTTAATGAATCTTAACAATAACTGTATAACAAATAGTTCTCTAACTTTTTGTTTAGTATAAATAGTAAGTCATGTTTGTTTAAATCTTAATTATAAGTCATTTATTTAAAGGTGAATCTAAAATTCAGCTTCGAAAGTGCCAGTGCCTAGTAGATGATGGCGGTGATGATGATAAACTGAGCAGCCATGCGTCTCCATTAACATTGTTTCATATTCTACATTATATGCGTTTGTGATTGGGTTTTCTCGTACCTCATGAATATTTTCTCGAGGCTTATCATGTATTAAGAGACAGTTATTACCTACTGCTTGTGTGCAGCGACCATCTACCATCCTGGGGAACCGTTTTTGGGGACTAGTTCTGTTGAAAACTAAGCATATTGATGTCGGCTCATTATACACCGCGGTCGATCCAAGTTCTCTTCTACTTCCTGTACCATGGCAAACACGTTTGTTACCACCGTCTCTGAAAGGAAATCCGCTTTCTTATCATCCTATTTGTTCAAACACGTATCTTTCCATGCTCCCTTTACCATCATTCTCATTTATTGCTGTTACACAGAAGAAATGACAAAAAAACGAAGATATTTTTCAAACATAAATTATTTATTAATCAACTCGTAATTTCATTGTATTGATTTAGAGATTTTTTTTCAAATAAAATTATTTATAAATAAAAATCAAATGAATTTAATTTATTGAATAAAATTAAGAGTTGATTATTTAATTAATTGTGAACAAGTCCGTTGCTATTGTTATAAAATAAATATCAATGCTTAAAAATTTATGTAATCATATTATTGTTTTTGAACTCAAAATTATATTTATAAACGTCATAACGCATAACATTTAAATAAAAAAAAATTATTTAAATAATATTTTACTAATAAAAAATCCAAAGTTGTTAAAAATAAATTTAAAAATTAATTTTATCATCTAATAATTGAATAAACAGTCTAAATGTTGATGCAGTTATAAAATTATCATTTTAGATAATAGTTTTAGAACTATTTTAATATGAAATAATTATAAAATTCCCACTAAAGTTTTTTTTAAACAAAAAAATATTAAATGTTGTTGCCCGCGATAACCCTTTAAAATAATTACTCCCTCTACAGTAGTGATTGAGAATTAGCATTTCAAAATATAAACATGTGCATTCTCAAGAGTATGTATACGTGAATTTTCAAGCCAAACCACGATAATATATTAAATGATGGCAAGAAAATAGACTGACAATAAAGAACTGAAAAAAAATATAACAACAAAACATCTATTCAAATCAGTTCAACTTCTAAATACTTAGGTGACGAAATATTTACTACCTAAACCATGTACAAACATCAAAGATATCCTTCAAATTCGTACATGCTCATCGCGATTGTTGAATAAAATCGTGATTTTTGACGACACAATTTTCACTCCGTGCACCCACGATGTTTTGGTAAGTCGATGTGAATTCTCTCCTACCTTGTCTTAACTTTTTCATCTGTCCAAGAAGTGCAGGATCATCATAACTGTTGCGTTTCCTGTTGACGCGTTGAGATACGTTCGTGAGGTAATTGTTCTCAGAATGGGCCACCCGGTACATGAAGCCGACGCCACCCCCACAATCATCATCGTTGAGATGCTTTTCCGTCACTGGAAGCACGCGATGGCTATTCTGACAATATTCACCTTCAATACAATTTTCTTCATCAGTTTCCATAGCTGATAGACTATTATTGTAATCATAATGTTGCTGATTGTGACGATGACAAGCTGCTACATCATTAAAACTGTGATTGTTTGTATAACTAACAGTCGGTTGATTTTGATTTTGTTGCTGTAGATCTTGGTAATTGTTATGATGCTTGGCCGGCTCATTGATCGGTGGAACGTAACCATAATAACCATTAGATGATACGTAAGATGGTATAATTCGCATTGGTGCTTCACTAGCTGCTGCCATTTCTATATTCTCGATTTGCCGCGTTTATCAAACAAAATACACGCGATAATCAACGCCTCATGGTTTCCGATAGCAATGAGATTGATTTAATAATGAATTTTATGTTAGTCTAGACTGAAAGGAAATTTGTATTACTATTTCATGATCATGAAAGCTTGTGAAATGGATCAAAATGAAAAAGAAAAAGTTACAACGGGTTTTATTTAACTGCAAATAACTTTTTTCCAGCCTCCGTTTACACAACAATCGTCGTACTCGACTTGAACCCAACTGAACCATCTAAACTTTCATCGGTATCCCGAAGCCGCTTACGAATAGACACGGAAGTTCACGAGTGATTCCCATAGTCACATATACCTTTTTGCTTCGTGCTACATATGTCTGATGACAATCCATTGGCACTGACCCAATGACATAAACTGTAGACAATTGTGTACTTCTCGTTTGAACTTTAGCTAGACCGTTGACAAGAAAGAACAGCCTATGAAATTCCAAGAAAAAAAAATCTTTCAATATCAAAACAGGGTGCAGCTGGGAAAGATAAAAATGCATAACAAAAAATGGTTTCAAATACCTAGAACTCAGTTCTTTTTCTTAAATAAGCTAGTCTACATTAGACTAACTGAATGATCGATTTTTTTATCAATAGTAATTGGACAAATATATCCAACGCAGGTTAGTCATAAATAGTTAACCTAACAAATCCTTTTTTATACCAGCTCAATCTTAAATCTTCTTATTCGGAAAAAACTTGATTTTTAAATGACCAACGCCATCATTCATCAAAAATCATGGATTCTTAACATTCCAGAGGTGAATCATCCCTTTGCATTCTATTTTACTTGGAAAAGAAACTTGTAGAGAAGATCATTTCTTCTAGAAGCTGAAAAACTGAGTGAAAATTTATAAAAATAACCGCGAAGTTATTGAGTCAGAATAAACAATTAGCGACATCAGGTGGTTGGAGTATGCACTCAAAGGTTCCGATCTACTGAATACGATATCTATGAACTTCACCATTCTTTGCTTTTTTGGCAGAAGCCTTAAGACTCGTTAACACATTAACATAGAAAAGAGACCGATATAGAAGCCTAATGCAGCGTTAAAAATCCGGACGGAGAGCAAGAGCTTTCCGTTTTCTCGGAGCATAGCTTCGTTTTTCGCTTACAACTTACGATCTATGGGAGGTACATGGACTACGAGCATGTCAATGGATTCCTGAGAGCAAGAGCTTTCCATTGATATAGTCAAAATTGTGATTCGAGCATAATTTATGCTAAAATTATGGCCATTTCCGGTTTCACCTTTATTTCTCTCTCTACGGACTTCAAAATAAATAGAACTGTTATTTAAGGTCGAATTACGAAACATCGATACGTACAGAATCACTCCCAATCATCAAAATTCGAGAATTTTCTTTTCTAACCTCAAAAACAGCAAATAATCGTAATTATGCTTGGATCATAAAATTATGGATGTCATTGGAAAGACGGGGACGAGACGATTTCCAAACACTGGCTGTCGGCCATATTTGGTTGGTAAAATCAGGAGATATTCCTGAAATTCTGCAAAACATAAAAAAAGTGCATAACTTGTATGCATATAATGCTACGGGGTTGATCGTGGGCTCATATGAAAGATCGGGACCTGAGTAAAAAATTCGATCCCCCCTATAGGATATCCCCGTCAAAAATGCCGTATCTCGCTTAGTTTTCGAGTTATGAGCGTTTAAAGATTTTTTTATGTTTTATCGGAGCATAGCTTCGTTTTTCGCCTATAACTTACGATCTATGGGAGGTACATGGACTACAAGCGTGTCAATGGATTCCTGAGAGCAAGAGCTTTCCATTGATATAGTCAAAATTGTGATTCGAGCATAATTTATGCTAAAATTATGGCCATTTCCGGTTTCACCTTTATTTCTCTTTCTACGGACTTTAAAATAAATAGAACTGTTATTCAAGGTTGAATTACGAAACATCGATACGTACAGAATCACTCCCAATCATCAAAATTCGAGAATTTTCTTTTCTAACCTCAAAAACAGCAAATAATCGTAATTATGCTTGGATCATAAAATTATGGATGTCATTGGAAAGACGGGGACGAGACGATTTCCAAACACTGGCTGTCGGCCATATTTGGTTGGTAAAATCAGGAGATATTCCTGAAATTCTGCAAAACATAAAAAAAGTGCATAACTTGTATGCATATAATGCTACGGGGTTGATCGTGGGCTCATATGAAAGATCGGGACCTGAGTAAAAAATTCGATCCCCCCTATAGGATATCCCCGTCAAAAATGCCGTATCTCGCTTAGTTTTCGAGTTATGAGCGTTTAAAGATTTTTTTATGTTTTATCGGAGCATAGCTTCGTTTTTCGCCTATAACTTACGATCTATGGGAGGTACATGGACTACAAGCGTGTCAATGGATTCCTGAGAGCAAGAGCTTTCCATTGATATAGTCAAAATTGTGATTCGAGCATAATTTATGCTAAAATTATGGCCATTTCCGGTTTCACCTTTATTTCTCTTTCTACGGACTTTAAAATAAATAGAACTGTTATTCAAGGTTGAATTGCGAAACATCGATACGTACAGAATCACTCCCAATCATCAAAATTCGAGAATTTTCTTTTCTAACCTCAAAAACAGCAAATAATCGTAATTATGCTTGGATCATAAAATTATGGATGTCATTGGAAAGACGGGGACGAGACGATTTCCAAACACTGGCTGTCGGCCATATTTGGTTGGTAAAATCAGGAGATATTCCTGAAATTCTGCAAAACATAAAAAAAGTGCATAACTTGTATGCATATAATGCTACGGGGTTGATCGTGGGCTCATATGAAAGATCGGGACCTGAGTAAAAAATTCGATCCCCCCTATAGGATATCCCCGTCAAAAATGCCGTATCTCGCTTAGTTTTCGAGTTATGAGCGTTTAAAGATTTTTTTATGTTTTATCGGAGCATAGCTTCGTTTTTCGCTTACAACATACGATCTATGGGAGGTACATGGACTACAAGCGTGTCAATGGATTCCTGAGAGCAAGAGCTTTCCATTGATATAGTCAAAGTTGTGATTCGAGCATAATTTATGCTAAAATTATGGCCATTTCCGGTTTCACCTTTATTTCTCTTTCTACGGACTTTAAAATAAATAGAACTGTTATTCAAGGTTGAATTGCGAAACATCGATACGTACAGAATCACTCCCAATCATCAAAATTCGAGAATTTTCTTTTCTAACCTCAAAAACAGCAAATAATCGTAATTATGCTTGGATCATAAAATTATGGATGTCATTGGAAAGACGGGGACGAGACGATTTCCAAACACTGGCTGTCGGCCATATTTGGTTGGTAAAATCAGGAGATATTCCTGAAATTCTGCAAAACATAAAAAAAGTGCATAACTTGTATGCATATAATGCTACGGGGTTGATCGTGGGCTCATATGAAAGATCGGGACCTGAGTAAAAAATTCGATCCCCCCTATAGGATATCCCCGTCAAAAATGCCGTATCTCGCTTAGTTTTCGAGTTATGAGCGTTTAAAGATTTTTTATGTTTTATCGGAGCATAGCTTCGTTTTTCGCCTATAACTTATGATCCATGGGAGGTACATGGACTACAAGCATGTCAATGGATTCCTGAGAGCAAGAGCTTTCCATTGATATAGTCAAAGTTGTGATTCGAGCATAATTTATGCTAAAATTATGGCCATTTCCGGTTTCACCTTTATTTCTCTTTCTACGGACTTTAAAATAAATAGAACTGTTATTCAAGGTTGAATTGCGAAACATCCATACGTACAGAATCACTCCCAATCATCAAAATTCGTGAATTTTCTTTTCTAACCTCAAAAACAGCAAATAATCGTAATTATGCTTGGATCATAAAATCATGGATGTCATTGGAAAGACGGGGACGAGACGATTTCCAAACACTGGCTGTCGGCCATATTTGGTTGGTAAAATCAGGAGATATTCCTGAAATTCTGCAAAACATAAAAAAAGTGCATAACTTGTATGCATATAATGCTACGGGGTTGATCGTGGGCTCATATGAAAGATCGGGACCTAAGTAAAAAATTCGATCCCCCCTATAGGATATCCCCGTCAAAAATGCCGTATCTCGCTTAGTTTTCGAGTTATGAGCGTTTAAAGATTTTTTTATGTTTTATCGGAGCATAGCTTCGTTTTTCGCCTATAACTTATGATCCATGGGAGGTACATGGACTACAAGCATGTCAATGGATTCCTGAGAGCAAGAGCTTTCCATTGATATAGTCAAAGTTGTGATTCGAGCATAATTTATGCTAAAATTATGGTCATTTCCGGTTTCACCTTCATTTCTGTTTTTACGGATTTTCAAATGAACTGTTATTTAAGGTGAATCAGTTATGAATTCTGGAACATCGAGACGTACAGAATAACCCCCGATCTTAACAATGAGATTACGAGGCCAGGCTAAAATAAATCGGTGCAGCGCCATCGCTTGATGGGTTTACAGAAACTTCCATGTTTGTGACCTGAGATTACCGACATGTTGACCGCAACTCCACCTGGATTTTTAACATGGCATTAGACTTCTGTACTGGCCTTTCTTCTGTGCTTTATTCTTTCTGGTTTTTTAGACCATAAGTTGGTATAAGTCATTCAATAAATCACGTGGTTCGAAGTGTGAAAACTTTTCTATTCTAAAGTCAATAAATAATTGAAAACTGGTATAGAAATAATTGTTTTCTATTTATTTCAAAAGTAATTATCGGTATTTTACAACAGAATGATGACTGTAAAGGTTAGTTACATTGAATATATAACATTTCATTTTAGACTTTAACTTAAAATAATAATTATAATCGATAAATCAGTAAACATGACTGATAAGCTGCCCTTTTTTCTGTTTTCAGGAACTCCCGGAGTTACAAATATTCAAAACTATTCTTTATTATTGTGCATATATAATTTTTCTACCCATCACATCTTTTTTTGCAACTAAGATATTTATTTTTGATGGTAAAAATTATTTATTTCATCAAAATATAGTATATTAATTGAGTAAATGTCCTACTTTATCACAATGTGATTATGATTTATATTAATACTCACAAATAATAATTGTTACATTAATTCTTGTTATTATTTATCAAAGTAACTCTGCAAAAATATTAAATTTAAATTTTATAATTAATTTATCAGCATAAAATCACTCGTTAAAAAATAAAAACTTGCATATACTCATCGTACTATTGAGAATTTAGTATTGTTGATAAGTTGGACATTTACATCATTCTATTTTGACAAAAGTAATGAAAATATTTTATTTATTTTAGGCTTGTTAGGTTTGAATAGTATTCCAAGTAATGTTTATGCTGCAATATTTTCTATCCTGGTATTACATGGTGCCCTAGGAGTATTTATTTACAAAGCATATTCAGAAAGTCAAAGCAAAGCACCATCTAAAACTGATTAATTTATTCAAAATAATATGTTTCCTAAATTTTTGTAAAAATAATAACTATCACTTTTGATATCAATAGTGAACAGGATACGGATTGGTAGAGCATTTCTTAACTTTTTTTGTTTTTTCAATAGAATATAAAGAACTTATAATTTACCATTGTAAAAATGATATATTTAATATATTATATTTTTATATTATTTTAGGCTGTAAGCAAAAAAATGTCAACACGCTTACTTAATTAAGCAAAGATATTACATATTACAAGTATTTCTCTTGCATCAAATAATAAATGTATCAACTCTATAAAATTCGTAAACGATTAATTATAATTCAACCTACATTGATTGTTATTTTATTATTTAAATAAAAAGTACATAGCAAACAAAAGCAATGTACTTTCAACAATTAATTTATTATTTATTCAGCAGAGATAATCACATTTTAGTACTATTCTGTAAATTGTACATAAATTATTCAAATTATTGTAAAATGTAAAATTAATGTTGAAATGATAAAAAAAAAAATGTATCTTAATAATTTAAATAAAAAGTGAAGGAACATTGTGTAAAAATGTTTGAAACATTTTTCATTTATCTAAACTATAATTATGTATGAGGAGTATGACGTGAATTCATTCAAATATTAATGGATTATATACATCTTTTTCGTGACATTACAGAACACCTGGATAATTAAATAAAAAATACATAATTAATTTAATATTATAAGAAATCAATTTTATTCCGTTGGCGATTTTCTTATTTTGTTTTTTGCTTGATAAATTAAATAATAATTAAATGTTAATTTTCTCTTTATTCGACAATGATTTTATTTCACCATAAATGCAACACAGATATACTTTTTGAGATTTTTCTTTTTTAGCTATTGATGGAATGAATATTTGATATCATAATTAAATACATAAAATCGCCAGCGATATCAATCTTTTAAATTTAGCTAGCAAGTCAACAGCTCAAGTTACAGTTCCTTTGTACGTTCATAAGCTGCAAGTGTCCATTTATTTCTACTGGCAAATACACAGCGTCCGAAATGTATCGAAAAATCTCCTCACTACATGATGAATAAGGCCGATCATTTATAAAAAAAATCAATTTTTAATTGACTTTAAGATTAAAGTTATATGATTCGGATGAATTAATAGTTACTTTTCAAAATTATAGTTCTTAATAAAGGTATTATTTACCTTTGTTTCGTTTGACAACACTCTACTGAGGTAGAAAAAGTTTCGACAAATAAAATTTTAGAATGGTAGAGGTATTATTTAGACAAATTTAACAAAAATGCAACAAAACGCGCTGTTATACTCGCTTTTATCGTGAGGATTCAGACGCTTGCGTGTTGACGAGAATAATTCATTTAAGTACTCGTCATTACTTGTAATTAATATTAGGTGAATTTTAACTTATAAATAATTTAAGTCGAATTATTACTCGACATCCATTTTATCATCCTTTGGAGATTGTTGATTGACATCATTTTCAGAGTTTTTTTGTGAATTCTGATGATTTTTTTGTTCTTCAGCTGATTTTTCTTTTGTCTTTTCATTTTTAGGGGGTTCTGCTTTGGGCTTTGGTTTGTTGATAATTGGCGACACCGTACTATCTAGAGCCTAAAAAAAAGAAAACATCATTTCATGGTATTAAATACTCATTAACATATTGTTTCGTGTATTTCAGAAATAATATTTACCTGTTTCATGCTGCGAATTTGTACTACAGTGATACTTGCTAATTGTGTTCGTGGTGTACTAGCAAATACCGAATAAGCTTCTTCTAACCACGACCATTTTTCTTGAATAGCTTTGTTGAGTTTTTCGATATCTTCTTCGGTTAGATGAGAATATTTATCGTCCTTTCCATATGAAGCTTTGATCTGTTCATAATTCTTCTTTGCAAGTTGAAGAGCACTAGCAAGGTCATTTAGAGCATATTGTCTACCTTCGAATTCACTTTGTCTTTCTTTAATAGGTTCTCCTTGAGACTGTAAGAATGAAAATTTATTTTAAATTATCATTTGTAGAGAATAATTTTGATAATCAAATTAATGAAAAGCAAAAGATTATTACTAACCTTGAGTTCAGTTAATCGATCACTGTAAATTTGTCTACTACAATCTTCGCCTTGATCATAAAGCCAATTTTCAGTCTCTTCAAGGACTCTGCTGAGTTTTTCTCTTTCCTCATCAGTAACGAATTTTGCTAATTGAGTATCGTCGAAAATTTTACTTCGTAAGTCATAAACGTATTCCTCTAATGCATTCCGTGCATCGACTCGTTCTTTTTCATGTTTGTCTTCAGCAACCATTTTAGCCTAAAAAATAAAATCGTTCATTTTATCAATTCATCAATATAATACTTATATTATCCTTTAATAACATTTAATTATGTAATAATTACTTCTTTCTCAATTGCAAGATGTAACTGTTCTTGGGGTAAACCACCTGCTTGAATTTCCACTGGAAGTTCAATATGACGTACTGGAACTTTCTTTTTATTTTTATCTTCTGCTTTATCTTCACCCTGAAAGAAAAAGAAATATTTTAACTCAAAAAATGTTGAAGTCAAAGCATTCCATGATCAACGAGTGAGTTGAAATTGATTCACTTGAACACACAACAACACACTAATGTAGAATAAGTGAAGTACATTAAAGGGAATCAATAAAATGGCGCGATAAGTATTAGTTGTCAATACGCAAACAAGTTATTTTTCATGTATATCAAATAAAATTATAAACTTATTATAAATCATAATAAAATCATTTCATTAAATAAATTTTTCTATTAATTAACGAAATATTGAATCTCAAATAGATCCTTATAATTAATTCGAAAATTTTTACAATGAATAAAACTGTCTCTCTTTCTTCTGCTACTTGTTAATAAAGGACAACAACTAAAAATATGATTTCAAAAACATAGCACGGTTTGTGACACAATGGACATTTTGGACCCATATGCATATTTATTAAATGAAACAAAAAACCTTCATGAAATCGCCAACCCTCTACAAGTTAGGCCATTGAATAAAAATTGTTAATTATAAAGCAAGCATATGAATAATTATTGCAGAAGAAATAGAAACAGAATTTGCATCTGAATTAGTAACACTATTAATTTTCTAAATGTAATTCGAATTTTCAACAACCAAAACGTTAATATTGTGTAGTAATGACATATAATAATTAAGAGATATGTTAATGATGATCATGAAATAGATGATTTTGACAATGATAAATGATTCTGATTATGTATTAACCAATAATAAAATATGATCAAATTAAAATAAAATCCTGAAGAATGTGCGCGACGATAAAGTGCGCTAAAATAATTAAGGCGATTTCAATGGAGCACTCAATCTTAAATGTTTTTGATTTTAGACAGAAAGAGATAGAGGAAGATGTATGCGCATGGGTCCAAGCAAATGTTAGTGTGTCGCGTACCGAGCTGAACCAAGAGCGAATCCTCGAGGAGTAGCGCTGGGACTTTTTACTTTTTCCATCATCGTCTGCATCTGAGTCTCGCCCTCCTTTTTCCGCGTTAACCTAAACCACAACAGACTTACGATCATGCTCGCGAAATGTTATTGGCTTTCCTCTATAAGCTACATAAACATTGCATCTTTTTTCACATCAATTTGAATTGACCAAATGTAATATTGTAAATCATGCAACTCTGAAATGATTTCTTTTGGCAATGCGTAAATATAAATATTGATTTTTTTTTTTTTAATTTAAATAAATATTTCAAAAAAAATTACCTCTTGAGCGGGTGGTTCGTTAGCTTGAGCATCTTGATCAGTTTTGTCTTGGTTTTGTTGCGATTGTTGCTGTTGATCTACATCCATATTATTGGCTTGTTGTTGTTGGGATTGTTTTTCTTCTTCTTCTTTCTCTTCTTGAGTTAATTCACGTTTTTCGATCAATGAGGCTGATGCTACTGTCAATATTCCGTTCAGATTTAATCTCACCTTAATCTTCACTTTAGATGGATCTCCCTCAGGTGTTGGCTTTACATTTTTAATGGCGAAAGAACCTGAAAAAACAACAATTCAGTAAAATTTATCCTCAAAAAGTGATTTATATAAATGGATAACTAAATTTTAAAGTCTTACCAATATGAGCTTGAGGATAATTTGGTGGTTGAATCATATAGCTGGCATTTAGAGTGAATGGATTACTTCTTTTAAGCGTTAAGTACTTGGAGAATGGGAATTGATGGTTGTATGAAAAGATTTCTATTTCACTGTAATAATAAAAAATTAAATTTATTACAAAGCTTTGCAATAAAAAAAAAGAAATGAGTTCCATACAAGCTTTAGCTTACCCTTGTTCTCCTTCAACTGGGTCCCATGTCAATTTAATAGGATATGGTTGAATATCAGTAATAGAAAATTCACGTACTCGAACAGCTGGGCTGAGCATAGCACATTGGAGAGCACAACCACGTGCGACAGATTCATCTTGATTGAGAGTTGTTGATGCAGGCTTTTTAAAGACTGATTCAATCAATCGTTTGATCGCTGGAATTCTAGAAGAACCACCAGCAATCTCTACTGAATGAATATCATCAAGTTTCAACTCTGTAATTAAAACAAAAAAATATTAGTTATTGATTTCTTGTTTATAATTGCTATTATAGGAAATATGTGGTATTTACCGGAGTCATGAAGGCACTTTTTTAATACTGCTTCAACACGATCAAAAAGATGAGCACACATAGCCTCCATATCTTCCCGTTTCATATCACCGTGAACATCTTTTTCATCTATAAAGCATTCGATATTAAGTGGAAGCTTCGTTGAGTTAGCTGACATCTGTTTTTTCAATTTTTCTACTTCCGCAAGCAATCGTAAATATGCTCGGGGGTTTGAAAAAGCATCAATCTTGTAGCGAGCTTGGAAATCCTTGGCGAAATGATGTGCAAGAATTGTATCAATGTCTCTGCCACCCAAGTTGCTATCTGACGCACAGGCTAACATCTAAAATAATAAGCACGATATATTAATATGATAATTAATTACCAATTTTTGTAATTAATCAGCGTCAAAATAAATAAAATCATAGAACAGTATTTTTTCCATAAGTTTAAGTAATAAATAATGTAATAAAATAATAATTTTTCATCTATTGTACCTTTAATTTGCCTTTGTGGAAAGCACAAATGCAGACTTGAAGACTAGCATATCCACAATCTACAAATACAACATTCCGTGGTGGAGATTCTGGTGGAGGTAAATCCTGTTTATATATTCCATAGCAAAGAGCTGTCGCCGTGGTTTCGTTAAACAAACGTAAAACATTCAACCCAGCAATACGAGCGGCATCCAAAAGAGCGTGACGTTCAGCTTGAGTAAAATAAGAAGGTACTGAGATAACACAGTCATTAACTGCTGTTTGAAGAGCATGCTCTGAAACCTCTTTTAATTTTGTAAATAACATTGCTGTTATTTGTTCAGGAGTAAATACATGCTCTTCTCCCAAATATTGAACCTGTAAATGATAAATAACAATACATTAAATTTTTTCAACTTACATTAACTTTTTGTCAACATAATTAAAATACAAAAAATAATCAAAACATTGATTAATATTGATTAATGTCTTTCAGAAGCATAAAATAATAAAATAACTCTAGAACATTTTTTCTTTTATTTAGATGTTTCATTGTGCTTGTTTATTATGTAATAAATTGCCTAGTACATAATTATCACGAATTGATTCTCGCCTGAATTGTTCTTATGTCAACTAGATACCTCAGTTTCATTATGAATATCTACGTTACATAAATAAACTAAGTATAGTAAGAAGACTTGGCATTCTTCCAGTATTACATTAAATGATACATTCATATGAATTTGAGTAAAAATTCAAATACAAATAATTATAATAAAAATAAGTATCAATTTTAACATTAAAAATACGAGCATCATAATCATCACATCATATAGAACAATTTTTTCTCACTAATATTCTTGTGTTAACTTTTTTTTATTACTTACATGAATACCAATACTGCCATCAGGTTGTTTAGAAGTTTTGTAAGTTAAACTACGAAGTTCAGTTTGGACTTGAGGGTCGAAATACTTTCTTCCTAATAATCTCTTGAATCCATGAATGGTATTTTTCATGTTGGTGACCATTTGGTTCTTGGCAGCTACTCCAAGAACTCGATTTTTCTGAGTGAATGCTACACATGATCTGGAACAAATGATAATTATTTTAACAATAGAAATTTATGAAATATCATAGAATATTTATTTTTTCACTTTGCATATTCCTTATCAAGATCTCTAAGATTATCCATGCTAATATTAATTGTATAGCTTCTAACTGAAATAGTTTTAATTTTTCAATCAATATATTAATGTTAAATTAATAAATAAAACCTATTATTGATACTTTGGTTGAATTATCACTTAAAAGTTGCCAGTGTCTGTTTAGATGAAAGACCTTGAACATACTATGAATCATATGACACCCAAATAAGGTAAAAATATTAGAGAACTCAAACTTAGTTTTTTTTTTATATAACATTATTAATATTTATACGATTTTTAAAGGTAAATTAATCGATATTAATCATTAGAATTGAAAAAACTGAATAATAAACCGTGGCAAATTGTATTTAATATATGTTTAAAGAAAAAACAACTACCAATCAACAAATAAAGCATCTGTCAGTATGAAGTGAAAAAAAATAAATGAGATATTGATTTGTTTTACCATACAAATAATGTAAATTACTTAATTACTATTAAAAATAATATAACTTCATTAGCTACAATAAGGAAAACATAAGAACCATCCGGTAGATGGTTTTACAAATGTTTTAAGCCTCAGATAAATGTTATGACATTTGATCAATACTAGTTACTTGTAATTATTAATAATTAGTCTAAAAAATATGAAAAAAATACTTTCTAAAACGTTTGTAAGACGATATGATAAATTTTGAAGTACCGGTGTGCGCCGGCGCCGGTTAATATGCAAATAATGTAGTAGATGAATAAAAAGAAAATATGATCTACTTACGGTGTATTTCTTAAGCTGTAATCATTAGCTATTGTTTCAATACCACCAGCTCTTGCTACAGCAATATAGCAACTCTCGTTACCGAAGTCGATTCCAATGACGGACATAGCAGCCATGGTTGGTCGCTTGATTGAATTTATCCACTTGATTCACGACTTCCACGCTGAATTGAAACACAACCTACACTTTATTTTTGTTTAAAGTTATTTAATTGAGTTTTTATTGAAGTATTAATTTTAATTATATCACTTCTCTCAATTAATCTTGTCGTATCTGAATATCAGTACAATAAATAGTAAATCAGCTTGTAAAATATTACGTTAAAATAGCTCAGGAAATAACTTCCGAAGTGAATAAATGCAGCACACGAACTTGACTGAATGATTACTTTCTGTAGACTGCCGCTGAAAACTGGCCAATCATGGCGCTGTTGCTTGCCGCGAACATAGGTCCGATTGGACAGAAGGATGTTCTGGAATATTCTAGAAAATACCACGCCGTTTGATAATACCGGTCTCTGTGAATTTATATATTAAACTTGCGCGCTCTTTCACCATACCATATCCCTTTAATAGGTCCTTCTTGATTTTCTAGAAAATTCGCACGTTCTTGTTAATTAATCTCCAATATTATTTGTATAAAAATTTACAAGACAAGTATTTAAAAATAATCGAATACAAATACAGGTTATAATTTATTGTTTATTATAACCTCTAATTTTATTGACTTTTCCATAGATTGAAAACGCTTATTCGATGAAAATGACATTTTTGTCCATATGTCAGTATACTATTTGCAACAATTCAATTTAAATTGAGTGGTAAAAATTAACAATTAAGTATTCAATATAGAAATAAGTAAACATTTGAACTGTCAACTGTTAAAATGACTTCTTGCTCTTTAGAAATTATACTTGCTCCACAATAGTGAATATTTATTCATTAGCAATTATAACATTGATTTAAATTAGTGATCATTTTACAATAGCAAATGAGTGAATATTTTCATTATGTTGCTGTGACTTTCACTGATTTATTTTCATATGGAGCAGGTTAGAAAAGCGTTTATTAAATATTTCACTATTTAAGTCAGTGTGACCGTAATGAAAATGTAAAATGAATGAATTTTAATTAATTACAAAAATGATCTCTAACATGGTAGCAGCATGTACATGGTTGACGCAATGATCTCCCTCTTAAAATCATCTGTTCGTAATCAATAATACAAGATGATTCCATTTCTTCACGCAGTTGTCACATGGTCTTAAAGGATTGTATAGATTGAAGTACAATATATGAATAAGAAACCAATAAATAAAATGTCACGCTGTAATTACCTCAAATTTTGTTCATTTTTTAATAAGCGAGTGCCTACAAAAAGTTCTTGTATTCATCTGAATTATCATAAACACGCACAGCCACATAATACAGTTGTACATCATGAAACAGGTTATTTTTTCGAGCGAGCAGCAATCAGTATTCGTTGTTTATGCTCAATGCACAAAGTTATTGAAAGAAACGTTTTACATTCAACAATTGCTCCACTATCTTATTGGGAAAAGAAGTGGCGAAATTATAGAAAAAATACCTCAGAGGCTAATTATAAGAATTTGAGTTTTATTTTAAGTGGATTAGGATTGATTGTAGCTTATTGTGATGCTCCAATATCATTAAAAGGTATAATCTTGTTGAAAACATAATAATTTCTACTAATGAATTAAAAAATTCACAAATTCAATCAGTGTAATTCTATTTTTGTTTTTTTTATTGTAGAGAAAAGGTTTTTTCGAGCCGCACAGTATGGAAATATTCCAGATTTAAAGAAGGTTTGAAAATTATTCATTATTATCAAGTATATTTAATTGTTATTCAGCTCAATTTGAACTGTTGAAAACAGTTTGTTTAAAAAATTTCGTAAAATAAATTCTAATTACTTTTAACAATATTAAATTGTGAAACACAATATTTAGAATCTAATAATAGATGTATAATTAATTGTTGACATGTTGAGTGATACTGATAATTCATGATGGATATCATCTTACAGGCAATATTAGAAGGAGTTGATGTAAACATGAGACACAGTCTTGGATGGACAGCATTGCATTCAGCAGCAATAAATGGTAAAGTTGATGCTCTCAAATTTTTAATTAGTCAAGGAGCTGATGTAAATGCGGAAGATGAATTTATAAATGTTTATAAAACTGGAAGAGAGAAAGGACTTCATTCATTAGAAGGTATAATTTATTTATCAATCATTATCATTCACGTTTATTCAAAAGAATGAATAAAAATGTTGGATATAATTTATTTTTAGTTCTTATGATACGTGAAGAAGAATTTTCTGATAGATTAAATAGTCGAGCTACTTTTAAAGGTTTTACTCCATTACATTATGCTGTTCTTGCCGATTCTTACGAATGTGTTAAAGCACTTTTAGATGCAGGTGCTAATCCTACGATAGATAATGAATCTGGTCATAGGCCTGAAGAATATTCGAAAAATGACAAAATAAAGAAATTACTTATTCAGAAGGCTCAAAAATATGATGAATTACTTAAAGAAAAGGTTTTTTGTAAAATAAATGCACTAATTAGTCTTAATAGTTATGACAAATTAATTTAATTGACTTTAGGAAGCAGAAGAACGACGAAGATTCCCATTGGAGCAAAGATTAAAGCAACATATTGTTGGTCAAGAAGGTCCTATTTCTATTGTAGCATCTAGTAAGTTTCTAATTTTTTTTTAATTATCTTATTTTCACAATTTATCAATGATTGCTTTCACTGAATAGCTATAAGAAGAAAAGAAAATGGTTGGATTGATGAAGAACATCCCTTAGTATTTCTTTTCCTTGGTTCCTCTGGTATTGGAAAAACAGAGTTAGCGAAACAACTTGCTGCTTATATTCATAAAGATAAAAAAGATGGATTTATTAGATTGGATATGTCTGAGTATCAAGAAAAGCATGAAGTTGCTAAATTAATTGGCGCTCCACCTGGGTAATATCCATTAATATTGCTCTTAGTTTTATGCTACCTATTATAGTTATTAGTAAACAAAACAATAAATGTTTATAAGTATTTTTTCATTAAATAACAGATATGTAGGTCATGATGATGGAGGACAGTTGACAAAACTTTTAAAAAAATTCCCAAATGCCGTGGTACTTTTCGATGAAGTAGATAAGGCACACCCTGATGTACTAACCGTTCTTTTACAACTATTTGATGAGGTGAGGAAACATTTATCTGGCGATCGATTATTTTATTTTATTTAATTAATATTTTTAGGGAAGACTAACAGATGGAAAAGGTAAAACAATTGAGTGTAAAGATGCTGTATTTATAATGACGTCAAATCTTGCCAGTGAAGAAATAGCTGAACATGCTATGCAATTACGAGCTGAAGCAGAAAGTGTATTACAACAACGACTTGACAAGAATTCTAATGAAGATCAAGAACCAGAACGAATCGTTATATCACGACATTTTAAAGATGAAGTGGTTCGTATAATTATGTACTCGTATTTTGATGTTAAACTATTGAGTTCAGATAATAATCAAGTATTGATACTATTATTTACTATTAAAATGATTGATTATTTTTGAATGTTGAATAACTGATAGGTGCGGCCCATATTAAAGGCTCACTTTCGACGTGATGAGTTTCTAGGTAGAATAAACGAGATCGTATATTTCCTACCATTCTCACGTAGTGAATTGATAAAGCTTGTAGCTCGTGAACTCGAAGCCTGGGCTACAAGAGCAAAAGAGAGACATATGATAGAACTGAAATGGGATCGTGAGGTTCTTTCAGTTCTTGCTGATGGTTATGATGCTCATTATGGTGCTCGGTCTATAAAATATGAAGTAGAAAGACGAGTAGTTAACCAGTTGGCTGCTGCTCATGAACGTGGACAACTCGGTAAGCACATTTGAATTTCATTTAATGTATTTTTTATTTCTTTTCAACAAGATTGATTTGTCATGTTTTATTTCAGGTAAAAAATGCTGCGTCAAACTAAAAACTAAATGGCATGAAAACGGAGCCAGTATTATGCTTTCAGTTCGACCTCCTGGAGTTAAGGATTTTGTTGACATTGCAGAGACAGATAATGTTATAAAAAATGTTCATGCCCAGTTTTAGTGAATAGTAACTATTTTTCTATGCTAAAAGTGTTCAACCAAATATAAACTCAGGATTTTTGGTAGGAATAGAATTTAAATTATGAGATAATTTGAATTATCGATTGATTATTGTATATGTTTGTTTATTATAGATTATAAATATTTATTTAATATTTTCATAGAGTGAAATTGATAGCCTTTTATTATATGAACTAAACTGCACTTTTGTAGGACTGAAATATTCACCAATGAAAAACTTGTAACATAATTTGTTGGAAAAAAGATTCATTTGTTATCAAACAATACAATTCGCTGTAAATAAATTCATCTTTAATGTAAACTGATAATTAAAGTTACATAACAAGACATTTTGGTTGAACATCACACTTAAAGTACAGTATACATTTTTTATATTATATACCAAGATAAAAGATTGTGTCGAATTGGAGTTATTGAGAAAATAAAAACTTTCTGATTGAATTGAAAATATATTGATCTTTTGTTTGAATACTTTATAGAATATTTGAAGTATTTAATGAAACATTAATTCAATAATTAAGGTACTTTCGTATGTCAGATACTTTGGACAAGAAGAGATTGCCTCCACTGATGGACAATTTTTTTTTTGAATTTTTTGAATTTTTATTTACTTGTATAAGAACGTTATAGTTCTAATATAAACAGTTATACTTTTTTATATATATTTATAGCATATAATATGTATACATATGTGTATAATATACATATATATATTTGTCTACATAAATATATATATATATAATATTTAGACAGAATTTTAGAAATACTGTTGGTATCTAAGGATAAGCGTACGATTCGGACTACGCTCAAATGGCTGAGCGTTTTTTTATTATTTTGTCGTTCTGATTACCATAATAATTTTATTTTCTTTTTTAAATTAATATTTTTCATCAATTTTATCGTTAATAGATTTAATATATAATATAAGATATGGGTAGAATATATAATCAACAATTATTGTAATCGTGAAATCTAAAATCCATATATTTATATCAATTTTGTGAAATTTTAATTTTTTATAGTTTATCGAAATTTTTATTTCAAATGTTTGATGCACAAGACGGTAACTCTTAGATAGATTAATAAAAAAATGAAGTTGCTAGATGATTTTTGGATATAATAAAAAATTTCATGTTTGATATGTTAGTCAAAAAATTACGATATTTGATCACTTTGTTACTTAAGTGTATGTTGATTTATGTTAATGATTATTATTTATTTAATATTTTTTTTTTTAGATTGTGTAAAAATCAGACTTTAATTGTAACTGGTTAATTTATTAATTCAGTTATGAATTTAGTATTTGCAATATTGATCGCAAACTACTTCAAAAAATATGAAAATTAAAATTCCGTTAAGCGTTTTCAAGTTTCATTAATTTATATCATTTAAAACTTTATTATTATATTCATGTATATATTTATTATTTGTAAAACATATAATATTTTTTTTTTTTCAATTTTATCATTCTTATAAGTTATAGATATAATAATAATAATAATAATACATAATAATTAGAGTAATATTATAATTATATATTTGGTTTTATAATAGCTATTAATATTTATCCATAAATTTTTATAACTTGACAACATTATTTAATCATCTTATTCAAGTCGTATTAACGTAAAACTTTATTATAATATTATTTTTGTCAATAGATTGTGCATATTCCGTTGCTTTTGCTTTATTATTATCGTGAAAATTCATTATTGTTTTTTTTTTTATTATTATTATAAATCTGGCTCATTTATTTAGGCCATATATTTCCAATTAATCATAATTTTATAACGTTTATAACAATAGAAGATTTATTTAGTTATTTATTTTTCTTTCTCATGATCGATCAGTATTTATTAGTAATTAACTTTAAAATTTTTCTCTTATCTTATCATGCATAGAAAGAAGAAAATAGACACCAATTACAATTTCCAATTATTTTCTCAATTCACTGCATTATAAATCATAAGCCATTAACAAATTTTATATTTCTCATAAATATATGTTTGTACCTTCTTGAATAACTTTTTTTTTTTGTATCATTGAGTTGCTAATTTTTTTATCAATGGATTTAATCATGAATAACACTCATTCATAAACTTTTAATGACTACTTTGTCGGTAGTTTTATTCATTTATTTTTATTTGTATGTGTATAGCTTTAATTAAGACTTATTTTAATTAATTTAATGTAACGTGTGCCACATCGTGACACTTTTTCGTGGTGATTGTGTAATTTTTGTCCAATGTTCTTGACTGCGATTGCCCGTTTCCCAATTCACTCCCGAAAGATTCCCTCCAGTTGATGGACCAACAATGCATGAGCCAACAATAGTATTACCACCAAGTTCACTACTAGCATCCATTACACACACCTATACAAGTTTATTAGTCGCCTTAATGATTTTGCTAATTGCTATCTTTAGTAGAATAGTAATGTTGGAGTAATGTAATCGAATATCTTATGCATTTACACAAGAAAGTTAATCGCACTCTTTTATGACGATAAAGCTTTTATCAAAATTAACTAGCTGTGATACTGGACTCGATAAATTCCGATTAAATATGAAATAAAGAATTTATTACGTTTTAGAGAATATGAATAAAAGCAAGCAAATAAACCATAAATAGTTCAAATACCTCCAATAAATTATCTCTCTCAATGAAATATTCTCTCATGAAGCTACAATTTACTATTTAAACCATGTTACAATTAGAAAAGAAGTAAATCAATAAGTATTTTATTGATTTTTAAAAATGAATATGTATATGCGTGACCTGAAGTCAGGGAAAAGTATAATTACTTATTTCATACTTCTAGGCTTTCAAAAATTTTCCCTTTCGAAGCTAAGCATAAAGTAATATTGGATTTTATTAATAACTTTCTTACGGAAATGGTTTTTCTTTCAAAAGCCTCATCTATTAAAGTTAACGATCTTTTTAAAAAAGCAGCTGTCAGTAACATAAGTAACAAATAATCACGATTGAATTCTCTATCAAACTATTCTCCTATTTTTTTAAAATTCTATTTGCCATAGTAATTGGACATCTACTTTGCGATGTAGATAAATAATTACCGAAACTTCTAGTTTAAATACCCTACCCTGAGTGCCCTAAAGTTAATGCAAATATTTATTCAAGTATTAATTACCTCGATAGCAGATGATGCAAGGGAACCTGAGGAAACATTGAAGGCCATTTCTTCATTCCATACAGGACATCTGGTACCTTTTTTAACTTTAGTCTTTTTCTTAACTCTTTTATCTCCTGATAAAAGAGTGACCTTGACAAATGGATCCAACGTTTCTTTTTTCTGATCAAAGAACAGTTAATTTTATTTATTTAATATTAAGTTAGCGTGAAAAAATCAATTGTGTCGAGATGTTCTAATGTATTAGATAATATTGAAGATTGAAAATGTACCTCTGATGGGAATAAGTTTCTGGCTTTAAGTATTAAGACTTTAAGTCTTTCAGCACCTGGTAAATAAGACAAAGTAACAAGAACTTCTTGGATTTCTTCAGGAGGTTTTTTTTCTGGAATTATTTCTCCCCATACTTCAACAGGTGAAGCCGATGAGGCAAGTTCTAGCTCTTCTAGTACGACTCTTAGTGACCCAACGACGTCATTCCTCGAATAACGATCGTAGTCAAACACCTACATAAAAATAAATGAATATTCAACGGCAAATTAAAAACTAGATAAAATACTTTTGAATTATTTAAAAAATTATTTCAAGTATTTCATTTATCTTTGATATTTATCCTTACTTGAAGTGTTAGAGTTTTCTCTTTTAATTCATCACAACTAACTGGAAATCTAAAATACTGATCGAAAAATGGATTTGGATTATTTCGATGAATGCTAGTTTGTCTTTTTTTGTTGTCAACTTCAGGACTAAGGGTAAGTTTGACAAAAGGAACATTGAAGCCTCCTTGATCACTTCCTGCTAAATCGTGTGCCTCGATTAAATGAACTTGAAGATCTGATTTATTAAAGTCGTAACTTAGGTAGAGATGAAGACGACCCATGCTTCTTCCAGTTTTACTAAACCAATCGATAAATACTAGAGTTAATTATTTGAAATAAAATATGGAGAAACCTAGAGTAAATACATCAATAAATAGACAGTTGAGTTTGAAACTACAGAACTTTTATTTCAAAGTTTAAAAATAATTTACCTTCCTTTAATTTTAACCATTTTCTTATGCTAACAATTTGCCTGTGTAGTAGTTTATTTACCTTCATGCAGTTGGTTTTATAAACTTTTTGTTTTTGTGTAGGGAAAAGTTATTGTAATCACCCCTAGAATTAGTTGGGGAGTTTTCAGGAAATTTTTATGTCTCAAAACACTCCCCTATAAGCCAAAAGAAGGACAAATTGTCAAACATAAAAGAAAATGTGAATTTATTTAGAGAAAATTATTTTTTAGTTTCAACGGAAAACATTTTTGTGAAGTAGAATAATTTTTAAATACTTTACTTTCAGTTTTAATTATCTTTCTAACTAAACTGTCTGTCTATTGATTTGTTTATTCTACTTAGAAAAAAAAATACTCTTCAAGTCACCACAAAATATAGGTCATATAAATATATTTTTATTCAGTTGAAGTAGCTTTACTATTCGATTATAAAATGGTCAATAAAGAATAGATTACTTTATTGCTACTTTACCAGTGAGCATTAAGAAAAAATGGGCCATCCTGGCGTTGATACAAATCAGGCTGGAGGGATCCCAATGGTGATGCTGGAGCTGTTGGTCCACCATCGCTATAACATAATCACATTTGTTTATTTGATCAAATATTTACAGGTTTCTTTTTAAATATTAATTACAAATTAAAGATATACTGAAAAAATCATAAAAAGTGTTGATAAAAATACACAATTTATCTTCCAAAGAAAAAAAAATGTCTAAATAATTTATAATTCTGTCTATTTAATATGTAATCAGAATAAATGAGCAATATAACTTTGTATAAAGTTTGATATGTATAAATACAAATAAACAGTGATTGATTGTATGTGACTTATATTATTTGAAATAGTGTTGGTGTTGAAGAAGAATTAATGAGAAAAATGAAACGATAATTTGATTATAATTATTATTTTTTGTGGATCAAATTAGTACATTAATGAATGTAAGTGCTAGAAATATTAGGAGTAAAGAGAAGCTAAGTGAACCACTTTCTGAAGAAACCAAGTTCATTATGTGCTAAATGTCATAAAGTTCAAATAGTAGTTTCATCATTAGAGTTGTACCTCAAGTTATCTTTAGAAAGCTTTAATATTAGATTATTAAATTATAAGATTTGTTATATTATAGTATAATATATTCATGATGAAAATGAAGAAAGTACTAAAACAATGAGAGTATTTATAACAAAGTGTGAGTTAACTCAAGTTATACATTAATCTTGATCAACCTTTATATTTTATCAAATTGAAATTAATTTTAATATTGATACTGTTTAGAATAATATTTCATCTTTATGATGAATTTTTAATCCAATTGAATGAAGGATTGGAATAATAAGACCCAAAAAAAAATAGCAAAGGATTTAATTACTCACTATAACCATGTTCCCTCACTATTTTATTTTCTATGTTTTTAAAACTCTAGCTCATTAAAAAAATTAAATCCCTATTCAATAAAACATGAAGCTTTAAAGCATCCGAGATAAAAGAAATTAGAATTTTACAGTGAAAGAATTTCTTTAATAAATGCGAGTAATCATAAAGATTTCACTGATTGAATTTTTGTTCTAGAAAAATGCTGTTATTGACGTGTTATTTATTTCTTTATTTGTTTCATCATTATTTTCTTTTATCGATTTGCAAGTATTTAATAATTTAGATTTGTATGTGGATCTTGTCGCACAGAGAATTCAATCAGTCTAGTTATTTTGTTTGATTAAATCTTGAAACTGATTCCAACAAAAAAAATTTCAATTAAATGTTACTAACAATCTTTAAGCTGAATATTAAGTTATCTTTCTATTTTTTTATGTCTAAATTGTGCATTAAAAAAGTGAATAATTGATCATTATTAAATTTTTTATCCTCACTTATTCAAGCAGACATTTTCAATTTCATTACACTCGATCATAAATGCACTGCAACTTTATAAACTCTATTTTATAATATATTATAATCTCATAGTCTAAGTTATAAAAGTTTTAGTACCTTATAAACTTGATTGCAAAGATTTGACGAGCTGTTATTATTCGTTATAACAATTATTTCAAGTGACTTATGTTTAAGCTGTTTAATTTTCTCATTTTGAAAGATCTATTAAATCTAAAACTACTAGACAAAAGTGTTAATATATGATAGAAACTTAAAAACTAAGTATTCAAGTCGTATAATAGGAAATTACATTAAATTTCATATAGTTTTAAAATTCAATTAGACTAAATTTGTATTACAATTGTTTTTGTTGGAACATACAAAGGTTTTTACTACTTTATCTGTTGAATTGGAAAATGATTATATAAAAATTTTATTAAGTATATTTTTTTATTATCATTTTGATAACTTTGATAAAAATAAATCAATGTCCTCATTTTAGTATAAATATTCAATGCATTTCATTTCCATTTAAATTTATCAGCTCCTCGACATGATTTTAAAAACTGTAGAATCTACTACTTAAGTAGAAATGTCTGGTTTTGTTCAGACACTCTACTTACAGACACTCACTAGTGATTGGAATATTAATATTTACATTCCAAAGTGTTGTAATAATTCTTCTAAAAAACTTTTACACAAATTTTTTTACATTTTTTAAGAAACAACATTTCACTAAAGGTGTTGAAACTTAAATAAAAAAGAAAAAGTAATAAATTATAGAAAACAATTATTCATTGTTATATTTACAGAAGAGAACATAATAAATAATAATGGTTGAAGAATTAGTGTTATGAGAAAAATGATTAAATATCCAGTCTTAGATTTTTTTATTTTTTTTTTGTGGTAAATATATCTAGTGTTTGTAATTTCTCATTTGGATTATTCTCTCCTTAAATTAATTTCTTTTTCTCTAACACATCAAAACTGCCACATCTGTAATTACTCTACGTTTGTGTTTACCGTATTCCCTTCAATAACTCACCGTAAGGCGTTCTGAAATTATTACACCATTTTTTTACTAAATCACTAATTGTTCATCTGAAGAACATTTTATTAATAATTAAAATATCTTTTATATTTTATTAATAATAAAAAAATGAAAGAAAAAACTAAAAGATTTTTCAAATTTCATTTTTCACTATTTAATGAAAATATTAATTGATATAATATAGTAGTGGTAACAGTTCACATTGCTTAAATGGACTTTTAAGAGCTATGTCAAATGACAAATTATAAAATCTCTTTGTCTTTATGATACTTTTAGGTAGTTTTTAGTCAGTAGTCAGACTCTAGTGAGCTTGAAAAAAATACAAGTAGACTTTACTTTAGAGTTTTATCATAGGTTTCTTTGTAAAACTCAACTACATATGCAGTTTAAAAATTTCCTTTTCATTCATTCAACTCTTTGAAAAGGCTGTAGAATATAATTATGTCTGATTTCTACTCTTTTACTTATTTTTTTATAACATTGTTCTGTTAAATCCTACTTATTTAAATATTTAGTTTCAAAATATATATTATAATCAGTTTTAATCTGACTCTTAAACCTTATTCCTCTTTATTTATAATTAGAACGTTTTTTCTTGTTGCCTGTAATTTTGCTAAACTACAAATCAATGTGAAAAGCAATCTATCCTTGTAAAATGCATGATCAATATCACTGTAAGCTTTATAGTCCTTTCAAAAAAAACTACTGTTAACTTTAAATTTAAAAAAAATCCTACAAATGCTTGTTTGTTTTGTTCCAATGGAAAAAAAAAACAATTGATCAACCTAAATGGTTTAATCAAGCATTAACATGAATTCATTCTTCTCCCATGACTAGCATTCTTCAGTCAATTAAAACCTTTTATAATTCCAATCAACGAAAAACAATGCAATGCATTTATAGATAAACTCTAGCATTCAAATTGAACTCATTTCCCTTTAAAACAAATAATAATGAATAAATAAAATATTTCGATATTTTAATATAATTATAAATAATAAATAAGAAGACAGAGTGATGGAATAACGTATAAATGGAATAGTATTTCACAAAGTCTTAAGAAAAAAAGAAATCTGGAGGGAAATAAAATAATCCTTAGCCAGCATTCTAACGTTAATGAAGGAAAAGTCTACCTTGAAGACTAAGGGAATGGTAAAAAGGTCTTTGCTCATGAGAGAAATATAAAAGAAATACAACTGACCTTATTGAAGTTCTTGGTGGAGGAATAAGAAGTGGTGAAAGACAACGATTTGGAGGTTTATTAGACGAGACACCTGATATACTTGTCCCAGTTGCGATGGAAGATAGAGAACTTTGTGAAGGTGAACCAATTCCACCATGAATAATTCCTGAAGTAAAGCTAGCTGGACTGCTACATCGTGCATCTAAAGAAGCTGCTCTTGCTGGAGATGGTGATCTTTTTAACAAAAAAACAAATAAAACAGTATAATTATCTATTAATCCTTTATATCCTTCTTAAAGTTAAATATAAAGACATCAAACTGATTATTATGGTCATTAAACTCATGAATATGAAAAATAGAATAACATAAAATATTTTATTACAGTTTGCTTTGATAATATTCAGAGAAGCATTTAGTATTCTCTTTTTCTCCTTTTTGTTGTGTTGGTATTTGTATTACATTGCTACTTTTTTTTCTTGTATAAGATTGTCTCGAGCTTTGTATTTATTTCAGTATTTTTCTTTCTTTCTTTCCTGTTCGTTGATGATATCAATTAACATAAATATAACATGCTATTTCAGTATAGAAATTTACATGCATGTTTATAAATTGAATTTCCTAGTTAGCATTTCTGTCTAAATCTGAATGGTAGTTGAGATATTTTTTAATTTGAAGTTTTAAATATTATTCATAATTAAAATAGTTTCTAGAGTAGATGTGCTATTGTGAAACAGTGCTCTAGAATTCTTGAGAGTGAAACAATGCTAATAAAGAATGATAAAATTTTATACAAATTATGTGTAAGTATTACATTAAACTCTTTTAAAATAAATTAATACAAATTACTGTAAAAATTTTTCTTAAAATTCCTTTTTATAAATATTTGAAACACATAACACTTCTTGATAGCATTCTATATTCAGCAAGTTTTTAAAATGTTCAGTTACTTGTTGTCCATTTATCACTTGTAGTAATCACCATTATAGAATATGTAAAATGATAGTGTATTTTGAATAATAGAGACGTGAAATAATAGATTTAGTTGTTATAATGGTCTATAATTTTGTTTTATAGCACGTATTCGTGTTTAATTTCTCACATAGCAATCTAATTTATCGAACATGTTATATTCAAATAATGTTCCAAGTCATTCTACTGCATAGTAATAAGTGCACTGGTATTGATGAATTATCTACTGCTTGTTGTTTTTTTTTTTTTTAATAATAATAGCTGCAGATGTAGTTGTTATTTTAATGAAAAATTCCATTCATATTGTTCAATTACTTATTTGAGTTTGAAACAAATGATAAATAATTTGCTGAATAAATTTCTGCTGAACGGAATGTATCATGCATTAAATAATAATGATCGGATTTATTTAAAATTCATGCTTGTTTCAAAGTGTTTGAGTGGTAATATATATGTATATAGATATGTTTAAACATAAGATAAAATTTTGTACAGTAATAATAGATGAAATTCAAAAAAAAAAAAAAAAACCTTCAGGAAAATAATTTCAATGATTTTCAATTATATGAAATAAAATGAGGATCATTAGCTTCTGAGAAATTTTAAATCTCATGAGACTATTTATTTATATAGTCTTTTTCTTTTTATCCAAATTACTTTTACTCATTGAAAACCTTCATAATTTTTGTCTTCTTTCTTCTTATATCTTTAATATTGCTTGTTTTTCAAAGCACGTCTATGAATTACTCCATTTTAAATAGTTTTTTTCTATCTCTTTTCTCTTTTATTATTTTTATTTAACTTAAGTTACTATTTGGTTTTTTAAATTTAATTTGAACTCTCAAAAATTTATAATTAAATATAAGCAGAAAGAGAGATAGAGAGAAAATGTTACTTTATAAAAATAAGTAAATTTACCATAGTGAAAAAAATAAATTTAATTTATTGAAGGAGAGTGAAAATGACTCTACAGTAGTTGATCTTGAAATATAATGAATTGAGAATCAATATTATCCTCTATGCATCCCTTGGAAGGTACAATTTACATTGGAATAATTTTATTTTTATCTCTTGAGACATATAAGATTATATACAAACATAATTTTGTTCTTTATTTTCCTTAGACCTGGAGTTTATTATAAATTGTAAGACCATTTTAGCTTCAAGTTCCTTTATGCATGGAGAAATATTCTAAGGAATAACATTACATATTGATCTCAATAACTTATTGAAGTTGAATAGACTAAAATTACCATACATAGCACTAAAATTGGAGTAATTCCGACGCGACTACATAAACTTATCTTTATTTTTACTTAATAGTTAGAAATAAAAAATTCCTAAATTATTACACACTAAATTAAAAAAAAAAATCACACTTAAGTTTCCAAAAAACGTTTAAAAGCTTAAATTCCTATTTTATTTTTCACGTCGTTCCAATCTTGAGTAATTGAGTCATAAAACTAAAAGGATGGTTTTAGCTTCAAGCAAGGACATCTCAGAGAATAAAATCACCGAATTTTGATGGTGAAATAAAATTGAAGTTAAAAATATCAGTTTTTCAATTTACTAAAAAAAATCTGTCAACACTTTTTTTTTCAAAAATAAACTTACTGAAAAAAATATTTCATTCCTGGATTTCATGTTCTAAAACACTGTTAAAAATTACATGATTCGAAAACTTGAAAGCTTTTTTGAAAGAGCAATAGATTCAAACTTTCCATGAATTCGAAATAAAAAATGTATGAAAATTCAAGAGACAATGTAAATGTCTTTTTTCAATAAAATATATCAAGAAAGCTTAATGAAAGTTGTGATAAAGTATGTCATCATAAAAAAATCATCAAATTCATTAAAATATATTGAAAAAAAAATTTTCAATTAAAAATAAATAGAAGAATCAATAAATAAAAGCTAATCTATCCTAAATACATTCCAAAAGCAGCTTTTCCATTAACATTTTAATCATATTCCTTTAGCTTTAAGTTATATCCGAAATTAATTAAAACTTGATATAACATAGTATCAGATAAGTCATAAACTTTTTATCTGTAACGAAATAGTTCAATTATCAAACACTACTTAATTATAAAATGATAATAAGATAAAAGATGCTGTTGAATGAGTCAATATAAGTGTTATTAAATAACCTAGAGCTTCTGCTGGGCGGATATGAGGAGGAAGCGTGGACGATGTCATGATGATGACGTCCATCAGGTCCAAAAGCTTTAATTTGTGGAGAAGAGCCGCGATGTGATGACGTTCCAGATGCTCCTTCTAGAGAACCTTGTGAACTTATAGATGGATTTCTAGCCAGAACTCGACCACCTGGACCTTGAACTGAAACAGCACTGCTGGGATAACTTCGGCTTTGGTGCGGTAAGCCTGGTCCTGAAATTACATTTATTGTTTAGCAACAAGGTATGATAAATAATCTATTATTCAACTGATCGCAACTTGGGAATTCGATATTCACTTAGATTGATTCAATATTGTGTCAGTGTGGGGTTGAGTTTAATGAATTTCCTATGAATAATCTGGGTATTACATAAACTTGTCTATTAGTTGATTTATTAACATAGTTACAAGCAGTATTTTAACCTCAATATTTAACCGAAAATTTGTCCCTTAAATGTTAAAGGTTCATTCGAATTGATGTCATTGAATAAATAAGTTAATAAAAATAATGAAATACCTTCGGTGAAAGATGAGGGTTGGACTGCATGTTGTTCCTTTGCTATGTTGAATTCCTGAAACATGAATAGTATTAATTTATTTAAATGGTTTTGGTTGTTATTACATTTCTCATAATTGATCTAGTGTGTATAATTATAGAATCGAGATGCTATTTCATACTTTTCCTGAAAACATGAAGAGTTTAATTAGTTTTTGCTCCAATTTATGAACTTGTTGGAATGAGTTGTATACTTGAGAATTTTTTAGAGATAATAGTTTTTATGTGTTTAAATTTTTAACAAAAGATACTCTTTTATGGAAGAGTTATTTTTTTTTTGTTAGATTTAAAACACAAAATTTTTCATTCTAAACTTTCTAGAAAAGCTAAATAAATCATAATTTTATATATTCACGCGTTGACCTCACCTTGACCCATAACCTGCGAGACATTAGGTCATAATTTGAATCAAAAAGTTTTGAAATTGTCTGTATAAATAATTTTATCTAGTTGATGTGATTATTTGTCACTATTTATATCCCATGATTGACTTTGTATCTAATATTTGAGCTTCGGTGATTAAATTATTATAATTATAAATACAACAGCTTGGAGTATACTAGATAATTTTTTATTATTTCATCTCATGAATTTAAATCTCTCATCATTCTTTTATTCCAAAGTTTTTTATTCTAACTCACCAACTGCTTTTAAAACTAAAGTTTTCTTTCTTCAATATTTTAAGGTTATCAGCAGCAGTTTTTTGATTCTGATATATTCCAGCATATTTCATGGTAAAAACGACTTGTAATAAAACAGGATTTTTACAGTTTATGACTTCAAAATCAATAAAAAAATTACATTCTTTTATTACCTTATTTTATGACCAAAAACAAAAGTACAATTATAAAAGCAATTTATTTCAAATATTCAAACAGAAAATATGTATGTTGTTATGAAGCTAATATTTTTTAGAATTTTAGATGGTTGATTCAATAAAATTTTGCATCCTCGACTGCAAGTTGTAATAAAATTTTTTCGATGTTTTCATCAGAGCGTTTTTAATTTTTTTTTATTCAACTATTGTGTTGATAAGACTCTTTGGATACACATATTCTATTATTGGTTTATACTTTATGTATTTACAATATTTGTCATATAAATATGTGACTTTAAATTAATTATTCATTATTCATTATTTTATAATATACTATATTCCCTAAGTATTATTAATTAATAATGAAATATTCATAATCCATAAACATTCTTCCATGATTAAATTTTGTTTATATTTCACTACTATATCGCCACACAGGTTATATTTTGTCAATAAATCTGTTTTTTTTGTTTAATAAATATTTTGTTATAATTTAAATGTCTAATATAAAATTGCTTTAATATTAAATTAATAATCACTGATTATAATTACTAGCATTTAATATTAAACATTTCATTAATATAGATTAAATCTCAATAATAATAAATATTTATAAAGTACATTACTATAATAAACTGTCACTGAACGAGATTTTGTTCTTGATCATAAAACTGCCCATTACATAGATAATTACTAAATGGTCTTGGTCTTATTGTCTCTTTTGGGTTTGAATTATAAGTGTAATACCTAGCAAGGCGTCTCTAAGATTAAGTGGACCATGTTCAGGACCCCAGAATAGAACTGGATCTCAATTGCTACCCAATTTTTTGTAAGCTAATTTTTTTGTTTTTAAGTTGGGTAAGCTCAGTCTAAAATGAAATTACTTGCTTTTGTAATCAACCTGGGAAGTATACAGGGACTCATCTGGACTACAAAACCTTGTTTAAAATGGAATACATCAAAATGAGCAGAAACATTGGAAGAAGTGAGTTGATGTTAAAAATAAGTTTCTAACTAACGATAAAGTGGTCAAAAAGAACATTCTCTTAACCAACAAAAAAAATCTCATGACATAAATTCTGAACAAAAGCATAGTTTAGAAGACATAGAGGTTTGAAAATGTTCTAGGGTCAATCTATGTGTCTGGGTGTTTACAAGGTCTTGAAGGTGTGTACTTCCAGGGTTGAAACTCTTTTCTTTCTCACTATTTCCTCTTCTATTTGCTCTTACTAATCTACCTCAAACAACTATGGTAATCATGTAATAGTTTTTTGATATTTATCCAGCAAGCTTTTACTATTTTTTAATTATAATAAAATTTTCTAGAAATAATTATGAAAAATTGTATTAAGTCTGTTAGTAAAAATTCTAAAGAAAATTTTGTCATTTATATCGAATAATTTTTGTTAAATTGAGTCTTTAATATTTTTTTCTACTAGTTTTATTTTTTTTTCTATTTATTAACTCTTGATATTTACCTCTGAGGTTTATGATATTCTATGGTGAACTTTACTTTCAAAGCAGCATTAATTTTCCAAGGGTTAGAGCCAGCTTTGAGAATTATTCATCGGCATAAATGTACGATAAAATCAATATCCAATCGTGATGTTAGTAACTTATTTTCTAATATATAGATGGGGAATTCATTAACCAAGAAAAAATTTTATCACTTAAAAAGAACTACAGGTGACTTATCAATATCTTGAAATTTCCTAAAAAAGATAAGATTGAACTGAAATATATAATACCTGTTGGAATAATTTCTCCAAGTCATAAATAACCACGCGAGCATAATAATTCTTTTACATTTAATATATTTCTATTAAAGTAAATTAGTTTCTTGCGTGTTACTTTCAATATTGATAAAATATTTTTTAGAACAGAAAATAATAAATTAACTATTTCACGTTGAGTCTGAAATATGCATCAGCTTTTAGTATTTATTTTTATTCCATAGTATGCACTCTTTATCAAGGTATGCTATTAATTAAATCAATATATTAAAAATTGAGAAAGAAAATTTTCATGTTACATTTTTAATTACCAATTCTAGCATTTATATCATCTTCTATTTTATTCATTAATCTAAATGTTTAAATAATCGCCAACCCTACTGGCTGTTTTCCTGGAGATGTAAAAAAGCTTTTGGTGGAACACAGGCCATCTGATTCTGTTGTATAGTTGCCCTAAGCATTGTTTGCACTATCATTGTGCTTTTTCTCTCTTTTTTCTTTTGTTATCTAATATTTAAAATTCGAATACATTGTAATATGGCCATCTCAATTACCTTTGTTCTTGGTATACAAAAACTAACCTATGTTTAGTTTTCTTTTTTTTAATTATTGAGATTTGTTTATTATTTTTGTTATGTTACACCACTGTTAATTCTCTTTTATGCAGATAATTTTAATTTCTGTCACTTTTTATTGATTTACAATCGATATTTATTGCCATAAGGCTTGTGTGATTCTAAATAGGTATGGTTATGGTTGCACCCGAACACGAGTCGTCTTCGGGTCTTTTCGGCTAAAGTACCCCCACCATGACTAAAATCATGAGCGCATGCGCCTGGCCCTATTTTGTATTACTACACCGCGCGGTAAATATGAAAAATCAAAAATTTATTGAGTAATTTTTTTTATAATTAATTTATATTTATATTGCATCGCGTATACATTCTGTCAATAATTAAAAGCAATAAAAATACTATTTTTTTGTAATAAAACAATCTTAGGGCAATTTAAACTAAAGGGACTACTTCTCTTTGGCGGAATCGACTTTTCCGGAATCACCCGAAGAAGACTCTTTTCTTGGTCCAACCATATCTAGGATGTGTTGGTTTTATTAAAAATTTTTTTTTTTTAAATTTTATATTTAATTTTAAATGAAAGTATCCATGATCTTTTATTGTAAAAGTAAACATTCCTAAGACCTCTACTGCTCTCTTAAGAATTCACGTTTAAATAATTACTACTATTATATAAAGCTGGCATTTACATATTAAAGACGATTACTGTATCGAGAAAGTTCTTTAATTTTGGAACGTAAATTATATTTTTACGTCCACGAGTTTTCAAACAAAATTTACAAAAAGTATTTTAATTATTTTAAGATCCCAACTTAACTTTGAATAGTTACAAAGTATATATACATAAAAGTAACCTCAAAAAATGTGATTCTTGTGTAAATACATGTAAATATTGATATTGGAAAGGAAGTGTTTTTAGAAATGAATCTATAAAGAATCAAATCAATCTTTCAAGAAATTTATTGAAATCTTCAACATGAAGAATTTCATCAGTAAAATTGAATGTAAAGTGTTGGAAGGAAACCGAATAATTCTACTCACAAGTTTGATAAATGCAAGAAAATAGATAGCTTTAATGGAATATAAAATTCTCAAGCATTTACTTGATGTAAAAATATTATTTTTCAATTTGATGCATTTTAAAAAATTCTGACAAAAAATACTCTGGACTTGATAAATATGTTCAATCAATCTCTATAAAAAAAATGGTACCATTTGGTTTGTTTGACAACAGTGGTAATAACTACAAAATGTTGAAAACAGTCGACCTATATTCTTAGCAAGTAATTCATGTATTAATGGGAATGAACCATTCGATCAAAAATGTATCCAAATGTTGATGATTACACGTTGTAAATAGAGCATGAATTTCTCTATCAATTAAAAATGATGAAATTGTGGTTGGATAACAGTTTTATTCCTGCTTTTATGATCAAATAAAAAATAATAAACAGTAAAAAATCAATTTCAAAGAATATTAAAGAAAATTATGATTTCAATAATTTAATGTTCTCATAAAATGTAATTGATTGAGATCAGTGTTATAAGTTATATTAAATTTTATGCTATTTAGGTACAATAGCAACATAATATCAACTTTTGATCATTTAACCTAAGATCTATTTTCAGTCTATCTTAGCAGGATTAAAATGTTCTTTTAAATCGTTCGTACCATTTTATTTTGAACCATTAGTTACTTTTAAGCTATTGCAGAAAATGATCATTATTCAACATCCTGTGCTTTTATCAAAAGTAATCACAGTTGCTTAGGTAGTCAATATGCTGAGAAAATTTACCAAGTTTCTTGTGGACTTTCCAGTTATTGCATTGAATTCAAAATTTCAACATATATTTTAATGTTCTAAAGTCATTGGAGTCATACAACAATTAT